GCAATGGCGCGATCTCGGCTCACCGCAACCTCCGCCTCCTGGGTTCAGGCAATTCTCCTGCCTCAGCCTCCTGAGTAGCTGGGATTACAGGCACGCGCCACCATGCCCAGCTAATTTTTTGTATTTTTAGTAGAGACGGGGTTTCACCATGTTGACCTGGATGGTCTCGATCTCTTGACCTCGTGATCCACCCACCTCGGCCTCCCAAAGTGCTGGGATTACAGGCTTGAGCCACCGCGCCCGGCCAACAGGCTGTATTTTAAATTTATGTTTTTCAAGAGATCTTCAATTTTCTCTTTCTCCTCATTGGCCATAATCTAGATGACTTAGTAGTGTGTCTTCTCTTCCTCATAGAATATACTTACTCTTAAGAAGTTCTGGGGCCAGGCATGGTGGCTCACGCCTGTAATCCAAGCACTTTGGAGGCCAAGGCGGGTAGATCACCTGAGGTCGGGAGTTCAAGACCAGCCTGACCAACATGGTAAAACCCCATCTTTAAAAAAACCAAAAAACAAAAACCAAAAGGCCGGGCACGGTGGCTCAAGCCTGTAATCCCAGCACTTTGGGAGGCCGAGGTGGGTGGATCACGAGGTCAAGAGATCGAGACCATCCTGGTCAACATGGTGAAACCCCATCTCTACTAAAAATACAAAAAATTAGCTGGGCATGGTGGTGCGTGCCTGTAATCGCAGCTACTCAGGAGGCTGAGGCAGGAGAATTGCCTGAACCCAGGAGGCGGAGGTTGAGGTGAGCCGAGATCGTGCCATTGCACTCCAGCCTGGGTAACATGAGTGAAACTCCGTCTCAAAAAAAAAAAAAAAAAAAAGAAATTCTGGCTAATCAGAATTCAGAATCGCATGCTACCAACTATAATCATGTACATAAGTGGACATAATATATCAAAGCAATATTCTTTCATCTGTTTTGTATTAAATAGCACACATCTTCAAAATGAAAATGGCTTTGAAAACATACCGATTCATCCTTCTTGCCCTTTCCAATACTTCAAACATATGTTCTTGAAATAAATCAAGCCGTCGATAGCGATTATTTTCAACATTCTTCCTAATTATGTCAAACGTAAGGGGTGGTTTGTTAGGAAAGTTGGGATCCACAGCAGGAATTTCTGCTAAAGAATCACTGTAGCATCTTCCCTCATCATCCTGATGACTCATGACTGACACAAAAAGATTGTGGATAAGCTCTTGAATCAGCAAAGTCACATTTGGGACATGAGAATCCTCATCTCCCTCCAGGTCTCTGCGTGTTTCAAGCAGGACTTTGTGTAGGACAAGAGCATCTTTGTAGATCAAAGACTCAGGCTCATTGTATGTACAGGCATTATTAAACATCATGACGAAGTCCTCAACCATAGAGTCAATATCTTGGTACTTGTTTGCCATCATATGACTTCGAATTTTTTCCATGTCCATGGGCTTTTTAATAGTCAGATAGTAGTCAGGCAACTCAGATCTGGAGGGAAGCCTCAGAAATATGGCACTGAGGCGGCGACCCCTTTTATCAGTATAGTTCTTTACAGCTTCATAGACCTCATTGAGTTTCTGCTGCATTGGAGTCATGTATTTTGATTTTTTGGGAGAAATGCCACTCTTCCTACCTAAAGAGAGAGATTTAATGTTAAATGAATAAATTAAATGGACCTAAATTTGCATATAGATGGTAGCATAGCCAGAAGAGACTATTCCAAGTAATTTGTAAAACCCAGCAATTAGCATGTCTATAGTGAAATATAATCTGCAGACAAAAAATAACTAAAAAAAATTTTTAACTGTTTTCAGTAATCATATTTTTCATGGGAGACTAAGTACTGTAAGGTTGAGAAAGCTGTGAATATGGAGGAATAAAGCAAATGAGTAGCTATGTGACATTCTATCACCTCTAGTATCCCTGAGAATTGAGACTTTCAACATAAGAGATAACAGATGTTAAAACATAAGACATTACTAATTACCTTGAGGCCTTTAATCTCAATTGAAAGTTAACACTATGAATTTATGATATATTTTATCTTTAAATATAAACAAACACACACACACACACACACAAATCTCCTAGCTCTGTCCACTGAAAATCCTAGAAACAGTAACTACCTCGGTAGCTGTACAGCCTACACTAGAGTTTAAAATACTAATTCCAAATACTAATATTGAGAAGCCCTCACCTTTTAGTAGAAATATGTAAAAGGTACGGCTCCTTGGCAAATGGCTGATTCCCAGTCTGGTATGTCTTCAAACACTAGACAGTAAAGAATCTCAATGACTTCTTACCACGACTTCGTGTCAAAAGAATATGGGAACTGGCTGGGCATGGTGGCTCACACCTGTAATCCCAGCAATTTGGGAGGCTGAGGTGGGTGGATCATCTGAGGTCAGGAGTTCAGCCAGCCTGGCCAACATGGCAAAACCCCGTCTCTATTAAAAGTACAAAAAATTAGCTGGGCATAGGGGTGGGCACATGTAATCCCAGCTACTTGGGAGGCTGAGACAGGAGAATTGCTGGAACCCAGGCAGTGGAGGTTGCAGTGAACTGACATCGCATCATTACACTCCAGCCTGAGCGACAGAGCAAGACCCTGTTTCAAGGAAACAAAAAAAGAAAAAAAAATGAAATCGAAAAAAAAAAAAAAAAAAAAAAAAAAAAAAAAAAAAAAAAAGAAAGAATATAGGAACCAGCCTGAGTATCAATAAGGACAATAACTTCAATTATAATTCAGTTATATGTTTAAGTCTGGTAGTGCTTAATAATACATAAAAACGAACAACAAAGTGGGTAAATATTGAAGGATGTTAGTAAACCAATGCATTATTTTGAAAACTTGTAAATAAAGGGGAAAACAAAACAAAAATAAGCTTTTTATCCTTTCAAAAAGCAAGACACACTGACAACACTGTACCACTGGGTAATCAAATATTAGATAAGGCAAAGTTCCTCTATATAGAAGTATTCCAGCTAATAAGTAAGAAATAAAATTAAAAACTATCATAATTTTACATCCTTTTCATGAATAATTAATGAAGTACGCAACAACACCTGTTAACAGAAAGACATAAAGAGATTTCACATGTACCTGATGGAAGACCGTATATTACCTACGAAGTCACTTTTTCTGCCAAAGGGAGAAGACAGGGGATCAGACCTAAATCTGATCAAGCCTCTGGCTCCAACTACCAATTTATAGGAGATACAAAGGACAGAGGTACACATTAAAGTACAACATAGTGGGCCGGGCGCGGTGGCTCACGCCTGTAATACCAGCCCTGTGGGGGGCCAAGGTGGGTGGATTGCTTGACCCCAGTCTGGCAACATGGCAAAATCGTCTTTACTAAAAATACAAAAAAATGAGCTGGATGTGGTGGCGTAGTCCAGCTCATTTTTTTTGTATTTTTAGTAAAGACGGTTTTGCCATGTATCTGTAGTCCCAGCTACTCGAAAGGCTGAAGTGGGGGACTGCCTCAGTTGGGAGGTGGAGGTGGCAATGAGCTGAGATTGTGCCACTACACTCCAGCCTGGGTGACAAGAGTAAGACTCTGTCTCCAGAAAAAAAACACACACACACACACACACACGAACACACACACACGAACACACACACACACACACACACACACACACACACACACACACACACACGAATGCAATTAGCAAAACCCAGACTATGGGAAACTACAGCACAAACCTAATTTCTTCAACAGATAAATGGTAAGGGGTAGAAAAAGTGAGATGTGGAGGGGAGTTAGTATTGGGCCGGGCACAGTGGCTAATGCCTGTAATCCAAGCACTTTGGGAGGTTGAGGTGGGCAGATCACAAGGTCAGGAGTTAGAGACCAGCCTGGCCAATATGATGAAATCCTGTCTCCACTAAAAATACAAAAAAAAAAATTAGCCAGGCGTGGTGGCGCGTGCCTGTATTCCCAGCTACTCGGGAGGCTGAGGCAGGAGAATCGTTTGAACCCAGGAGGCGGAGGTTGTAGTGAGCCGAGATCGTGCCACTGACTCCAGCCTGGGTGACAGAGCAAGACTCTGTCTCAAAAAAAAAAAAAAAAAAAAAGGAGTATCAGTCAGTTGTAATATGTGGACTTTATCTAGATTCTACTTTAACCAGACACTACCTCAAGACATGATACAACATAACGGCAGTGAACCCCTTATGAAGTATCATAAGTACCACCAAGCTGAAACTTAATCTAATCACACCTTCAAAGTTAACTTGCATTTATAAGAAATAAGTGAAACAAAGAAAAAAGTTACAGACATCACAAGGAAGCAAGCCTGTCTAAGCTAGAACTTAGGACGCTGTCCAGAAAAGTAACCTGATTTCTTCAATGAGTTTGGCATGTGGAAAGAAAAGGAAGGAGACTGCTCTAGATCATGAGTTTAAGAATATAATAATTGGCCAGGCCCAGGGGCTCACGCCTGTAATCCTAGCAGTTTGGGAGGCCGAGGCGGGCAGATCACTTGAGGTCAGGAGTTTGAGAACAGCCCACACAACATGGTGAAACCCCATGTCTACTAAAAATACAAAAAACATTAGCTGGGCGTGGTGGCACGTGCCTGTAGTCCCAGCTACCTAGGAGGATGGGGGGCAGAATAGCTGGAACCTGGGAGGCAGAGTCTGCAGTGAGCTGAGGTCACACCATGGCACTCCAGCCTGGGCAACAGAGTGAGACTCCATCTCAAAAATAAAAAAAAAGTATAATAATTGACTGGGCACAGTGATTCACACCCGTAATCCCAGTACTTTGGGAGGCCACGGCAGGCGGATCATTTGAGGTCAGGAGTTCGAGACCAGCCTGGCCAACATGGTGAAACCCTGTCTCTACTAAAAATACAAAAATTAGCTGGGTGTGGTAGCGAGCACCTGTAGTCCCAGATACTCAGGAGTCTGAGGCAAGATAATCACTTGAACCCGGGAGGTGGAGGTTGCAGTGAGCCAAGATTGCACCACTGCACTCCAGCCTGGGCAACAGAGTGAGACTCTGTCTCAAAAAGAAAAAAAAAAGTATAAAAATCAAATGTATTAAATAGAACTTAATGAGAGCCTGATTTGAAGTAATCAACTAATCAACTATAAAAATATATTTGTGAGACAATCAGTAGAACTTGACAATTTATCATGTATTAGATGAAACCAAGAAACTACTGTTAATTTTGTTAGGTGTGACAATTACTTCAATGTTATTTATGAAAAGTCTGCATATTTTATTTTATTTTCATTTGTTTTATCCTCAAAGACAAAGTGGCAGATATCTGCATATATTAGAGATGCATACTGAACTATGTAGAAGTAAAATGACATGGTTGGATTTGTTTCAAAATAATTTAGGAAAAAGGGGATAGGAAATAAGTGTGTCACGATTTTGACAAATAATCAGTAGTAAGTATATACAGGGGTTCATTGTACTATTCTTTTATTTTTGGAGGCAGGGTCTAGCTCTGTTGCCCATGCTGGAGTAAAGTGGCATGATCAGGGTTCACTGCAGCCTTGACTCCCAGGCTCAAGCAATCCTCCCACTTCAGCCTCCCAAGTAGCTAGGGCCACAGGCACATACATGTGCCATCATGCCTGGCTAATTTGTTATATTTTTTTGTAGAGACAAGGTCTCCCTATGTTGCCCAGGCTGGTCTCAAACTCCTGGGCTGAAGTGATCCTTCTGCCTTGGCCTTCCAAAGTGCTGGAATTACAGAAGTGAGCCAACGCCCATGGCTGCTGTACTTTACATTTATATATGTTTGAACTTTTTCATTAAAAAACATAGAGAAATAAAAAGGAGGCCAGGCATGATGGCTCACACCTGTAATCCTAACACTTTAGAAGGCACAGGCACGAGGATCACTTGAGCCCAGGAGTTCAGGGCCAGCCTGGTCAATACAGGAGACCCTGACTCTATTAATTTAAAACAAACAGAAGAAATAAAAAAGGAAATTAACATTCCACATTAAAAAGCCCTTTTGGCTGGGCACAATGGCTCGCGCCTGTAATATTAGCACTTTGGGAGGCCAAGGTGGGTGGATCACAAGGTCACGAGTTCGAGATCAGCCTGATCAAGATGGTAAAGCCTTGTCTCTACTAAAAATACAAAAAAAATTAGCTGGGCGTGGTGTACACACCTATAGTCCTAGCTACTCCGCAGGCTGAGGCAGAAGAATCGCCTGACCCAGGAGGTGGAGATTGCAGTGAGCTGAGATCTTGCCAGTGCACTCCAGCCTAGGCAACAGAGTGGCACTCCGTCTCAAAAAAACTAAAAAATAAATAAAAAGCTCTTTTATCCAGAACTTTGAAAAATGCCTATGTGAATTTATTTATTTAAATGTGTATTTATATAGTCATTGTTAAACTTATTAGTCTCTTATGAAATCAATTCTAGTTAAAACGTATTGTGTTCCTATAAAGCGGAATGAAGTTTTACATTTCTGCAAACCTTCTGTATGCTTTTACAGTTCCATGAAAAGATAAATGCCTTAACAAGAAGGATTTGGCCAGATGCAGTGGCTCACACCTGTAATCCCAGCACTTTGGGAGGCCAAGGCTGGTGGATCACTGGGTCAGGAGATTGAGACCATCCTGGCCAACATGGTGAAACTCTGTCTCTACTAAAATACAAAAAATTAGCTGGGCATGGTGGCATGTGCCTGTAGTCCCAGCTACTTGGGAGGTTGAGGCGGGGGAATCGCTTGAACCGAGAGGCGGAGGTTGCAGTGGGCCGAGGTCATGCCACTGCACTCCAGCCTGGTGATAGAGCAAGACTCCATTTGAAAAAAAAGGATTCATCACTTAGCAGTAAATCATACCCAAATCTAAATCTAATATCAAATTTAATTTATAGTCATTTCAGTTAAAAAAAAAAAAAGCTCGTCTGGGCCAGGTGGGGTGGCTCACGCCTGTATTCCCAGTACTTTGGGAGACTGAGGCAGGAAGATGACTTGTGGTCAGGAGTTTTGAGAGCAGCTGGCCAACACGGTGAAACTCCATTTCTACTAAAAATACAAAAAAATTAGCTGGGCATGCTAGCGTACACCTGTAGTCCCAGTTACTTGGGAGGCTGAGGGAAAGGATCACTTGAACCTGGGAGGCCAAGGTTGCAGTGAGTAAAGATCATGCCACTGCACTCTAGCCTGGGTGACAGAACAAGACTCTCTCAAAACAAAAACACAAACCAAAAGCTAGTGTGTTTGTTATCCCCTCTTTCAGCAAATATTCCTCTAATGAATATCATTATCCAAATTGCTTGGTATCTATTTTATTTACATATTTTAAAGAAGGCAGTAACCATTATCTAATGGTATTAATGACATTTGCTGTCTTCTCTTCCAATCTTTTTCTCTTTTCTTTCTTTTTGAGACAGTCATCCATGCTGGAGTGCAGTGGTGTGATCTTGGCTTACTGCAACCTCTGCCTCCTGGGTTCAAGCAATTCTCTTGCCTCAGCCTCCCGAGTAGCTGGGATTACAGTTGTGTGCCACCATACCCAGCTTATTTTTGTATTTCTAGTAGAGATGGGGATTTACCATGTTGGCCAGGCTGGTCTTGAACTCCTGACCTCAAGTGATCTGCCCACCTCAGGCTCTCAAAGTGCTGGGATTACACGCATGAGTCACTGTCCCTGGCCTTCCCTTACAACTTTTAATAAAACAACCAGCCACGGACTACACTCAAATGACATCTGAGTATAGTGCAGTAGCTAGACATCTCAAATTCAAAGTCCTCAAATTCTGTCCAGTTGGAACTGCTGGGATTCATTTTTAATTCTAGTAATTGTCAGACACTCATAACAAGAAAAGAAAATCTGCTACTATACTCTTAAAGCACTATAGGTAGAGAAAAAATCTATTCTTACTATTTAAAAGTTACAAAATGTCCACTGCATTTAAGAAAGTAAGCAAAACCTCTAACATATTTTACACCCCACATGCCTGTCACAGCTTAGCTACTTAAAGTACAGTACACAAGAGTGCCTGACAAGAAGAAAGAGACTCCATGTTGGAGTACAGTGAGTTCAAATATATTAATCATTTAATTAAATATTATTTCAGAAAAATCAGCATCTCTCCTTGATAGGCTAAACTAAATAAAAAAGTGTGAGGCTGCCTTACTCAGCTTGAGTTTGGGAGAAGCCATGTCATCATCATCTGGTAGTGGGCCCAGCTCTTTCCTTTTCTCCTTGAGTAACTTCTCCAGGATATGTGCATCATTGTATACCTACATTCCAAACATATATTTAAATTATTTTCTAAAAACTTTGTATTAAGGTATAAAATGCATCCATAAAGAAGTTTTAAAAAGACAATTTAGGATAGTTGGGCGCTTAAAGAAAACCAAAAACAGGCTCACAACAGAGCAATAAAATCACTGTATTTGTAGGAAAGCCTAGGCCTTAACTGGTTTATTTTTAAGCTTCCTGGGTGATTCTAATGCGCAGACATGCATGTTAATGTTTGAGAACCACTGTAGTAGAATTACTGCAAGTTTTAATAGAAGTCTTGAAACACATTTACATGTGTTGTTTTCTTCAAAAACCTTTATTTTCCACTGGACACTCAAAGTAGCAGACTTAGCCCAATGGAAATTAGAGACTAAAAATATCTGATAGTTGGAGAGCAATATCTCAATATCTTAAATCCCAAATCTGAGTTCACAGTCTGAGGCTTAATCTATAAAAAAAAAAAAATTATCCTTGCTTAGGGATCTCTCTCTGAGGACTGAGCCAAGAGTAGTAATATGTAGTCAAGAACAAGGTTACTCACCTTATGACCTTTTAGTAGAGACGGGATCATAAGCTCCCTCCTCTTACCTCCCCAGCAGAGGCTATGTCCTCCATTGGCCACCCACCAAAGCAGAGGAGCTGAGGGAATAAGTGACCTCTCTTGTTTGGCCACCTGTCTTAAAGGTGGCTTTTTCTTCTACCAGTGATAGACAAGTGATACACTGGCCAATGACACTGAGGACTGTGTAAATCCCTAAGATAGAACCATTTTTTTGGATCTATAAGCGTCCTCAATGCATACTTTATTTTATAATCAAATGTAACTGCAGAGGGAAACAAATGACTGGAAAAATTTATGTTATTTCTGGGAGCTGTAAAGTGGATAAAAAGATATCAAATAGAAAATGTTTCAAAGAAGGAAGGCTGTAACTTAGTTATGCTGATAAAGAACTAAACAAGATGCTTCATAGTAAAATAAATTAAATCAATTATTTAGAGGTGCATTTATGAGACTATCATGTTGGTTTTTATATAATTATACCATTTTCTATACAGGTTGTCTTTGGAGAAGTATGGTTGTTGAGGATAGAAATAACGATGATGATGAAAGATTTTAATGCTATTGGTTTACCTTTCAGTGCTTATTCAGTAACAGGCACTCTGCTAAATGCTCAGTATACATTATCTCTTTTAAAGCCTACAACAACCCTAATGCAAGTACTATTATTAATCCTAATTTATAGATGAAGAAACTGAGCTTCAGGAAGGATAAATTACTTACATAGAGGTTGGCAGAATGAAATTCAAATCTAGGATGTCAGATTACAAAGTAGGAACTTTTAACCTTTATAATGTACTGCCTCTGATTTTAAACAATGAAGAAAAATCAAAGTATTAACCTAGTCACCAAAAATAATAATCTACATTAAGCTTCTAGAGCTGGTCTCTCAAAATGCATTATTTTACAAGCACCTCCCTCCCCCAAAACGTGCCTACTTCAGGACCCTGCCCCTCACCTGGGAGCCCTCCTCGTTGTAGTGCCTGGCATTCCGGAACATCAGCTTCATGTCTTCTATCATTCCCTCTTCACCTGCATATTTGTCATTACGGATGTTATGCTCAATTATTTTCAAGTCCATTGGCTCCAAGATGATTTTATAATAATCAGGATAGTCCTTTTTGGATGGTTTAACCATAAATAGGTCACAAAGTCTTCTGCCTGAACCTGGCTCTCGAGCTTCAAGAACAACATTGAATAAGATTTTCATTCGCTGCTTTCTTATGTTCTTTTTACTGTTGAGGAGGAAGGTAGAAAAAGGGAAAAATGAGGATAGGTTCAGTTTTCTTAATATAAGGACAACCATAAAATGAAACAAACTATTTGTGGACAGGTGCTTTATAATGATTACAATTTATTTATTACATATGCTACAAACACACTAAACATGCTGGAAGCTATAAGCAAATATTAGAAAAATTTCAAAAATAGTTAAAATATAGTGATCCTGGCAGGAGCAGCAAATGAATACCAAAAAAACTTTATATAGATATTTCATGAAATGCAATGTTGGAAACAAAGATCCTCTCTGATACCAAAAGAAAATGAAATTATATAACCAACTGAAATATATTTTTTGTTTAACAAAGAGTAGAGGAAAGGTACAATAAAACTAGCAATTCCCTATTGTTAGCAATATCCTCACTTTTGAGCACAAAAACAAAACAAAATAAAAAACCTAGAAAGAGAAGTGTTTCATCTCTTAAGACAAGTACTCCAGAACACTTGTATATTTTGGTTGTCTGAAAACAAAAGGAGACTGTCTGCCAGACTAGTGTCTTTACAGTGGGTATGAGCCTTTCTGTCAGGGTCGTCCTTGCTCTCTCCATCAGCATTATTCCACAATTCCAACCTACTTTAAAGAGTAAGTGGTAAGGTTCATCTGAGTTTTCTAGAGTAAAATTTTTATCCTTGAGCATGAATCCCTGTCTTGTTCTCCAAATTTCTTCAGTCAGCTGTGATGCTAAGAAACTGATTTGAGCAGTGCAGAACAAAGCATAAAGGACTATAGATTAGATCCAGAGTTCAAATGGGCTCCAAGAGAGCAGATGGTCTTATCTCTTAATTGTTGAAAAAATTGGCTCTGAGAGGGTAAATGACTTGCCCAAGGTGAGCTTCCTAGTAAATTAGAAGAGATGCTCTTCCGATATGACTTCTGGTTAACTGTTCTTATATAGTCAGGAAACAGATAATTTCTACATAGATAAAGAAATTCTAGTCAGACTAACCAGCAGTCTCCAAGCGAACAGTCAAGTAAGCAATAACAAGAAATGACTTACGACTTAATTTCTATTAAAAAAAACATTCACTAAGATCCTACATATACAGTACAGTCATCCCTTGGTATTCATGGGGAATTGGTTTCAAGATCTCCCTTGGATACCAAAATACACAGATGCTCAAGTCCCTGATATAAAATGGTGTAGTATTTGCAAACAACATATGCACATCCTCTTGTATACTTTAAATCATCTCTAGGTTACTTATAATACCTAATACATTATAAATGCAATATGGTTGTTTTGTTATATTGTACTGCTTAGGACATAAGAAAAAAAGTTTGTACATGTACAGTAAAGATACGATTAAAAAATTTTTTTCTAGCTGTAGTTGGTTGAACCCCTGGATGTGGAAGCCATGAATACAGAGGGCCAACTGTACTTAAAGGTAAGTATTTTTTATCTGTTTCCTATCCTGTAGGTAGAAGAAAGTTCATTCTTCAAGCAAACTATGTGGCTGTATAGGTCTTCTGGTCCAGTCTGCTGACTACTTGCACTACTGCTGGGTCACAAAGAAGCCAAAGTGTATTCTCCAAGGTTCAGAATATACTTGTTTAAAACACAGAAAGAAAAATAAAGAATTAACATTTGAGAAAATAACTATCTATCCTTAAGATTTTTTTTTTTTTTTAGACAGAGTCTAGCTCTGTCACTCAGGCTGGAGTACAGTGGCATGATCTTGACTCACTGCAACTTCCACCTCCCCAGTTCAAGGGATTCTCCTGCCTTAGCCTCCCAAGCAGTTGGGACTACAGGCACCTGCCACCACGCCAGGCTAATTTTTTGTATTTTTAGTAAAGACAGGGTTTTACCATGTTGGCCAGTCTAGTGACCTCCTGACCTCAATAGAACTCCTGACCTCATGTGATCCGCCCCCTTTGCCTCCCAAAGTTCTGGGATTACAGGCATGAGCCACCACGCCTGGCCTATCTTTAAGATTTTTAAGCTTCTCAGAAATGCCTATCTTCCTAGTATCATGGAACCTAAGGCAAACAAAGTGTTTAATTAGGAAAGAAACAGACAAAAGACTGTTTCCTAATAGAACTGGGATCATCCTCATAACTTGTATCTTCACTCTGACTGCTTATTTCCTGTTCATTGTAGACTATGGACAATTCCTGCCATTTTCTCCCCTCACTATTTTTTTGTATTAAATAAGTTTGTTAGATAATGGCAATCTAGACGTTTTATCTAGCAGAAACTCCTTCTCCAAGGAGACATCCTGGGACAATGATGTGACAGGAAGAGTTCTCTCATTCTAAGTCTTTGGCAGGTGGATAATACACGGGAAGTTGGGACAAAATTCCAATACCACAGAGCTCCACATCTGGGCAGAGATTAGAACACAGATGACTTTAACCTTCAGGGGTCTCTAAAGAAAAATTTCAGAACCTGACTCTGAAGTCAGATTGGCTTTGATTAGGTCTTGCATGTGGGGTGGACTTTAAAAAGAAGACAGAGGAATTCAATGTTGAAGCTCTAAGCTTACAAGATCTCTTTAATAAACAGGACGGAATAAAATCAGTTCTCATTCCAGCAATTTCAAGAGGCTTAACAGTTCAGTCAAGGCCCTGACCTGGACCAGAAGGTGCTCACTCCATTCCCATCTGGGTTTCAGCACACCAAGCCCAATTATCATCAGGATTTTCTGTATGAAGCTGCAAATATTCTCAGATGGGAGTAAATCTAGGGCAGATTTTTATAAGATTTTTAAAGGGGAGAGTTTTTAACTAAATTTTGTCAGTGAAGTAAAAGAACGGCAAGTGGTCCATTCTTCTAATGCCAGTAATTCTGATACTTGGCAGCTTTGAGTGAGACATACCCAGAATGTAGAAATCTAGTTGTATATAAGGAACTGCTCGAATTTAATAACTAAAACTTATTTTATTTTATTTTTTTTTAAAGACGGAGTCTGAGGCAGGAGGACTGCTTGAGCCCAGGAGTTTAAGATCAGCCTAGGCAATACAGTGAAATGCCATCTCTTAAAAAAGAATAGCCAGGCATGGTGGCATGCCTGTGATCCTAGCTATACACGAAGCTGAGGTGGGAGGATTGTTTGAATTTAGGAGGTCATGGCTACAGCGAGCCATGATGGTGCCACTGCACTCCAGCCTGGGCAACAGAGTGAGACTGTCTCAAAAAAGACAAAAAGGCCAGGCATAGTGACTCAAACCTGTAATCCCAGCACTGTGGGAGGCTGGGGTGGGCGGATCACCAACCCAGGACTTCAAGACCAGCCTGGCCAACATGGCAAAACCCTGTCTCTATTAAAATACAAAAATTATCTAGGTGTGGTGGCGTGTGCCTGTAATCCCAGCTACTCAGGAGGCTGAGGTAGGAGCATCACCTGAACCTGGGAGGCAGAGGTTGCAGCGAGGTGAGATTGCGCCACTGCACTCCAGCCTGGAGACAGAGCAAGATTCCATCTCAAAAAAAAAAGGGCAAATAAATACTTAAGAGGACAACAATTCAGATCATAGATACTACTGTAATAAGTACACTAAAATTTTTGAATTTTATAGGAGATGGGACATAAAGGGTCCTGTGCTATCAAAATAAGTATATTATAACAGTTTTCCAGTTCATGCAAGCCAAGTGTCTTGAGAAATGGCTGCTTATTCTAACTTACACAAAGTTTATGCACTAGCAGAGGCTATGCTGAATCCCTGATGTGAGATGGCAAACTGGTTTTCCAGGATCACCATCAACACTATCCTCCGGGACTCAATCCAACCTGAAACACCTAAATCAGTCACTTTTTGCTCCCCCAGGCTGATCAGAAAGTTCTAGAAGACTTCCACAGCCTTTCTACATCTTGTTTTCCTTTTAATGTTTCATGCCACAATGTTAGAACTTGGCCCTCATACTTTGTAGCTGACCACTTTCTCAAATGCCCTTATCAATATCTTCCTCTAATTAGAGCTACTATTTATTGTTATATATACTAATATTTACAAATGCATATACACCAAAGTCCTGTTTACAGTTATAAACTATAGCTACTAATACTTCTACCAAATGCTAAACACTGTGCACTCTCATTTAATCATCAAATTCAGAATCAAGTACAATTATTACCCCAACTATGCAGATATAAAAACTGAGGCTTAGAGACAGCAAATGCCTAATGCCATAAAGTAAATAACCAAAATAGACATTTGAATCAGCTGATAATCACCATACTGGTTTTATGTCCCTTCCTTTCCCAAAAGTTGGCGCAGCCCGGCACAGTGGTGCATATGCCTGTAGTCCCAGCTACTCAGGAGGCTGAGGTGGGAGGATCACTTGAGGCCAGGAGTTTGAGGCTGCAATGTGCCATGATCACACCTGTGAATAGCCACTGCACTCCAGCCTGGGCAACAGAGCGAGACCCTGTTTCCTAAAAAAAAAAAAGGTGGTGCTTACCAATGGCCTCTCTAATCAAAGTCAACCCTGTTCACAGGCTTTAAGGTCTCCCAGCATTTAGCTCCCCTGCCTTAAGAGCTTCAGTTGTACTTACTAGCAAGTAAACCCAAAGGTTCTTTCTTTTACAGCCAGGGTACATTTAACCTAAAGTCTTCAAGAAATAAAACCTCTTCATTCATCTTTTCCAAGGAATCTTCTCAGACAAGTAACATCTGACTAAAAACAAAACCAAAATCTACCAAGTCCTGATGTCCATTAATGTTACTTCAGGAAAATAATCACAGCTACATTTACTGAGTACTCACTGCATTCAGACCCAGTTCTAAGGGCTTTAAACATATTAACTATTTGGGTCCTCACAGCAATCCTATGAAGGTAATAAGCTTCATAGGAGCCAGGTAATTCGGTAATTACTTCAAATATTATCTTAAGAACAGCTAGGATTGAAACTTAGGCAGCCAGGCTCTAGAGCTCAGGGTTATAACACTACCCCATGATGCCCTCTCCATTTCTATTTCTACTACCACCTAGTTTTAGTGCCATACATTATGAATGATATGAAAGAATACAATCCATGGTCTTTTTCTTAATTTTACCATTTAATTGAGAAAATTTTTCTTTAGGAAAATATTAGGAAGATGACAATGATAACATAGCAATTTTACTTAGTGGAATACATATGGTAGTAACATGTAGGTAACCTCAGGACACTTAACTTTCAAGGGAAAGTATGGTAGGGAAATAATCTTTCCTAAAGCTATCTGGGCAATCATAAAACAATCCTATACAACTGCTTAACAGTGTAACTTATGCAATTACTTTACTACATTGCTTCCAAATGATTTCATTTGTTTTCAACCTGCCTCTTTCCTTGGCCTATATGTTCCTGGCAGGTTAAAGAGGTGACTAAACATTCTCCTTTACGAACTGTTTAAGAGCAGAGTTTAGTGTTCTGTAAGCAACTGATGCTCTGTGAACATCAGAAGGCAAATGTGAAAACAAAAGCACTACACAATTATTATAAGTACTATGACATGGTAACTCATAGGTTGTTTTGAAATCATAAGTAACATGCAAAAGAATAAATGCTTTTTATAAAAGACATTAACAAGATCAGAGACTGAGGAAATGTATTCATGCTCAAGAAGCACTGACCCACGCACAGTGTCCACATGCACTGATGTCACTTGGACTGTGAAGCTGATTTTGGTCCCTCCACCACCCTCAATCTGTAAAAGGCATCCCTGAAAGGGAATCAGCACCTGCCAGGCCTGGTCACCAGCACTGCCGCCTTCAACCTTTTGCTACAGAAACATAGCCACAATGATTGGTGAGGGGGCTTTCTGTCTCTGGCAAAGCTAGAAACAAATTAAGGCTACTCCTGAACTAGGCTAATTCTGAATTTATTAATAAGATTTTAAAAACTGTACTACTTTGTTTATTCATAAAATAAACTGGCACCCCCAATAAAGACTTTTTTTACATGCTTAAGGCTTCACTTTTCACCTAATCAGTACTGATCATGCCACAGAAGATACACTTTAAAAGAATGTTTATGCATAAAAAAGGACTGCACACCTGGATAGCCTCCTGAGACCCAACATCTCACTGTCATGAGTGTTCCTGGGAAAGCAGAAACAAACATTACATGTAAAGAGAAACAAAACAAGCAACATTGGAGGGTCATGTATAAACCATGTGTGGTTGAGGAAAAAGAAAATTATTCAGTCCAAAGTATCAAGGATAATATTTGAAACATTTCAACAAGGAAGACAGAAGGTGGTGGAAAGAACACACCCTCAGAATGAAGAGAATTCAATTTTTCTCACATTATTTGGTATTTAAAAAAATGGCAAAGGCAGAATCATACACAGCCCTTAGAAGTCAAGTGTTACTTGGAAAACAGCCGTGACTTCTGCAGCCAAGATTAGCTTAATTTTCTAGGCTGCCATCTGCCTGACTGCTGAAGAAATCTCTTATTACCAAAACCTCTCAACATAACCCTCATCGTGTTATTTCCTTTTTCACAGTCCAAAGTAGAAGACTTAATTCTTTTAATCTTTTGACGTCCACTCATGTCTACATTTCAAACCCAGCTTCTTTTATTATTTTAGTGGATGATTTATACTCTTAATTTGTGTTTTTCACTTCATTTGTATAAAACACTTCCTAAGAAACCTGTTCATAAAGAGACTCTTTGTCTGAAGTGAGATTTTTTATTTTAAGAATATAAAGCTTAACGGTTTTTTACAGGAGGTTTTAGGGGAAATTTTTTTTTTTTTTGAGATGGAGTTTTACTCTTGTCACCCAGGCTGGTGTGCAATGGTGCAATCTTGTCTCACTGCAACCTCCGCTTCCCAGATAAGCGATTCTCCTGCCTCAGCCTCCTAAGTAACTGGGATTATAGGTGCACACCACCACATCTGGCTATTTTTTTTTTTTTTTTTTTTTGCATTTTTAGTAGAGATGGAGTTTCACCACATTGTCCAGGCTGGTCTTGAACTCCTGACCTTAGATGATCCAACCGCCTCAGCCTCCCAAAGTGTTGGGATTACAGGCATGTGCCACCACACCGGGCCAAAAACTTTCTTTTAATCTATTTGGGTGTCCCACAAACTACTGGCCACAGAGATATATAATTTTGAGGATCTGGCCTGGGCTAATGCTTCATTGGAACTGTTTTCTTAATACTCAACTAATTTAAGATATCTCTGTTCATCCAGTGTTGGCACTAATTGTACCATCACTTTTGCCTCCATTACCTTCTTTTGCCTGAGAAGTTTTTATCTTTGATAGGTGACTGATCTGGAAAACACAGGTGATGCTGTAGTAGAGTTACATAATTACACTCAAAGTTGTTCTTGATTTGATGTCTTTGATCTGGTTTCACACCTTTCCTCCGTTGTCCCTGGTATAACAAGGAATTAAGAACTTGGAAGGATGAAATTCATAGGCCAGTAATGGAGGAGACTCACATCTCAGGGTACACCAATCAATTTAATTAACACGGCAAAGCTTAAAAAATTCTCCAAAATGCTATCTATAAGAAGGAAAGACAGGACAGCTTCTCTTTTTTTAAACTACTTCCTAAATTCTTCTGATCTTAGTGAATCATTTAATGCATGTACAGACTGTGCCAACAGTTACCAAAGACTTCATTCAACTGTGAATCTTCATTCAACTAAGCCAAGCCTGGCTATTAGTGATTAGCTTATTCCTTATTTAGGGTATCTTCCTTGGACTGACTGTTGCTGCAAAGACGGTGAGGCAGTCATGATTAAAGGACAATACAGTGTTCCACAATTATCAGGCGAGAGAAACTCTGTGTGGGAGGTGTAGACAGAAGAGATAATCTTGCACAATTCCTTATAGGATCCCATCTTCAGAATCTCACAGTAAGATTCCCTTTCACAAAACCCACGAGAAGGAGAAAAGGTTAGGGAAGTTGAGAGAAAGGTTAGATGGGGGGGGAAAAAAAAAACCCAAAAAATCTAGCTCAGCTTTTTATGAGCTATCAGAAGTTATGATTTGTTATCTTACAATCTGGCATTCTTAAAATGGCAAATAACCGTGAGGTAAACAAGCATAAAGGGACAGGAGCAATGGCTTACCTCACTGCAGTGGTAGTATCAAATTTCTCCTTACCTTTACTAATTCAAACTGCGTCTTTGTAATTTGCCATGTAGAAATTACCCAAGTTAGATTTAAGTGGCATTCTTAAAATGCCTCATTAAAAATAATAACCCGGACAGCAAAAAGAATAACACATTCTGCCAAGCTACATATGTAGTAGGCATTTTTATCTGAGTCATCAAAAAGTAACATGGCACTTGAACCAAAAAAAGGTAATCATCCAATTGCAAATGATTTTTAAAAGACAACACGTTACAATATATTTAAAGCTTACAAATTGATAGCTTAAAAAAAACCCTATTTTCTTCATTTATCTAAAACAAAATAAACAGGAACTGAGATGTCCCCAGTTATAAGAAGAGTATATACCTTTTTCTTTTGGCACTACCAGTATCAGAGGTGGCTGAAGAGATCATGCTGTCTCCATCTTCAATATCGTCTCTCCTGGCAAGCTCTTTCTTCTTTGCCTAAAACAGAGCAGATCTCAGGAGTCAAGCTCACTCTGCCAAACACTCCTCTGAATATATGAATTTTAAAGAGCTAGACATACCAGATTCACTCAGAAAAATACAATCACATGCAGGATGTACAAAATGAAAGAGTCATTAAACATTTTCAATAACCACTTTTAACAAAAGCCTGCATGACAAAAAGAGTAGGTTAAAAAATGCATCTACAGAGTTGAGGAGTCAATGCCAGCCAGAGCATTTAAGACTACAATGAGTGCTGACTGGTTAAAAGCACTGAGGCAAGCTGTAGGAGCATTCTGCTCTGATTGCCCTATTTAAGTAAAACCAACTCAAAGAGGGCCTTTGGTACTCCTGAATTCTAAGGGGCAGTGTGGCTAAGAATAAAGTTTAATGCAAGAAGTGAAAGATCTACTTTTCAACATATACATTTTAAAAGACCTTCTGCCAGAGCTGAAAGTCCAAGCACAGCAGGCTTAGGGAATGTACAGAGTACTAAAAAGGTAATGCCTGAAAGTCTTAGCACTAAAGTTCACTGTTAATCACATAAAATGAAGATTCTACAGGTAATCTAAAATTGCCTTTGTTCAGAGATTTGCCTTTCCAGAAAGAAAGATTCTACCAAAATTTGTCAGATAGACCCAATTTGTGTTTCCTATCTACCTTTTCATCTTACAACCCCTAGATGAACAATGACCTGAGATGTCCTTTCAAGGGGTTCTCAGAGGGGATCTGATAAATTCATAGACAATATACAAAGATTAATAATTAGCTTTCAGCTAACCTTTCTCATAGTACCAGCCCTACTTTAACAGGGACAAAATCTGGAACCAAAGGAATAAAATCCAAATGATGGAATATCATTCATGATTGGAGAGTGACTCCATGAGAATCCAAAAATTACTGCACAAGGACCAGTCCCTGCTTCCACCAATCACAAAGCTAACCCCATCTAAACTATTATTTCTACTCTATATGGCCATGACAACTCCAAAAAAGTATTCAGGCCAGGCATGGTGGCTCACCCCCGGAACAAGATACTTTTTTTTTTTTTTTGGGACGGAGTTTCGCTCTTGTTACCCAAGCTGGAGTGCAATGGCGCGATCTTGGCTCACCGCAACCTCCGCCTCCTGGGTTCAGGCAATTCTCCTGCCCCAGCCCCCTGAGTAGCTGGGATTACAGGCACACGCCACCATGCCCAGCTAATTTTTTGTATTTTTAGTAGAGACGGGGTTTCACCATGTTGACCAGGATGGTCTCGATCTCTTGACCTCGTGATCCACCCGCCTCGGCCTCCCAAAGTGCTGGAATTACAGGCTTGAGCCACCGCGCCCGGCCGGCTCACCCCTTTAATCCCAGAACTTTGGGAAGCTGAGGCAAGCAGATCACAAAGTCAGTAGTTCAAGACCAGCCTGGCCAACATGGTGAAACCCCATCTCGACTAAAAATACAAAAAATTATCTGGGCGTGGTGGCATGCGCCTGTAATCCCAGTTACTCAGGAGGCTAAGGCAGGAGACTTGCTTGAACCTGGGAGGAGGTTATAAAATACATATATATGTGTATATACATATTTTTTGAGACAGGGTTTCACTCAGTTGCCCAAGCTGGAGCACAATGGCACAATCTCAGCTCACTGCAACCTCCATCTCCCAGGCTCAAGAAATCCTCCCACCATAGTCTCCTGAGTAGCTGGGACTACAGGCATGTGCCACCAGGACCGGTTACTTTTTGCAGTTTTTGTAGAGATGGGAGTCTTGCTATCTTGCCCAGGTTGGTCTTGAACTCCTGAGCTCAAGTGATTCTCCAGCCTTGGCCGCCTAAAGTACTAGGATTACAGGTGTGAGCCACTGCACCTGGCCAAACGATGTGATATTGCTGATGGTGAGTGGGATCACACATCTTACTAGAACACACTCGAAACATGCAAAATTATTTTAATCATATATACAACAACAAACTCAGCAAAAACAATAAATCACACCTGCATAACTTGCTGCAATTTTAGAACTCGCTTGTAGATGGCTGAATTGGGCACATTATAGCGTTTGGCATTTTCAAACATTAAATTCAGATCACACTCCAAATGATCTAAAGTTTCATATTCTTGATTCTTCAGCTTTGTTCTGTGAAAGACAAAAAAATTGCTAGAATTATCCATCAAAAAATTATGACACATTCTTCCTGAAAGTCAATGCAAAATCTTGACAAGCACTAGATGGTATCTTTACTAGTAATACTGATTAGGAACTTAAAAATGACTTTTGAGATATAAAGTAAGGAGGCAAAAGTACCATTACATTAAGGCAGTATGACAGTTTACTTGAAATCCAAAAGAATAAACTAAAACACTGTAAGAAATAATAAGAGGACCTAGTAAAGTGGTCAATTACAAAGAAAATATTCTACTTGGAAAAACCCTAGTGGAAAAATCCTGGTAATGGTTAATAAGCGAACCTTAGGACGGGATGAAAATTAGGGAAGTTTTTAGTGACCTGAAAGAAGAATCACGGTGATCTAAACATTTCTGAAAACAGAAGACCATTCTAGTTCATAAGGGTTAAAGAGACAGTACTGATACTGCAAACAAATATTTATAAGCAGTAAAGAGTGGTCTTATGATGGTAAAAGAGAGATAAATATGTCAGATTCCATTCACTTCTATTTTTTCCAATATAAATACATAACTAATATGACATTTTAAAGTTGGGATTTTTACTTAAAAGTCTTAAGAATTCAAGTATCTCCCTTAGACACTATTATTATGTCAATGATCATAAAGCCCTTATGTACTTTATACAAAGCAGAGTCACTATTTGCTCTAACACTATATGGATGTAGACAGGATAGACTTTAAATCTTTTTATTATAGCATTTGCATGTTAACCATCAAAATCACAAAGACAGCAACAATATGTATAAACAGCTTTGGAGAATAAATGAATTTTCTCTTAGAATGGCATCTGCATGTAAAGTTTTATCCAAAATTTACCAAAATCATATTCAGATTCTGTGTTGTGCTCCAACAGATGAATCTTAGAGAACATCTCTGTGAAGAAGCAAACAACTAAGCACAAATTCAGCTCTCAGTACCAGGTTGTGTAGCTAGTACCCAGAGTTTAAATTACAGCCTCAGACTTATTCCTGCCAACTCAAAGGGTAGAGTGCTAGATGTTCTCAACACCCTCAAATAGACAGAAAACCCAAACTTGCAAATGACAACAAATAGTAAACCTGCAGATATTTATGAGATGACTATTAATCAAGGGTAGCAGGGGGAGGAAAAAGAGAAAAAAAAAAAAAAAAACAACAAACCATAGCGGGGACAAATCTCAGTACAGCAGAAGGCAGCATATGGAGCCCACAATATCTAGTTCTGCTTACTCTTCCATTTTTGTTGCTTTTGGGGAAACTCATATCTTCCTTCTCCTAATAGATCTTCCTAGGAGCACACTGTATAATATTGCAGCCTCTAGCCATGTGTGGCTATTTAAATTAAAATTAAATAAAATTTAAAATCTAATTCCTTAGTTGCACTAGCCACATTTCAAGTACTCAATAGCTACATGTGACTAGTGTCTATCACACTGGAATATTGGTAATAAAACATTTTCATCATTGTGGAAAGTTCTGTTGAATAGCACTGTCCCTAGACTTCCCTGTTGCTCTTTAGAGCACAATGGAAGGGATCCTAGGCACAGCAAGGCTCCTGTCAGGCCTTACCGGCTCACAGTCCTTGGAAGGCAGCAATATTAGACATAATAGTTGACCCTTCAGAACTTTAGTGTGCTGGGCTTCAATAACTTCCCTATTCCTTACTCTCCCCTGTGTGCCACACACTTGCCATTATAAATCAGAAAGCAGAGGGGAGATATTACTGACTTAAAGCAAAGTTTGTATTAGAAAATTTCAATTTGGAAGAAGGCTGTGTTGGCAGGGGACTGAGCTGGCTAAGGATTTGTCTTCTTTTGAACTAAGCTATATAATAAGACTATTTAAATAACAAAAAAAAAAAAAAAAAAAAAAAAAATTTTGAACAGAAACTTCTCAACATCTGCAAAACTATCACAATCTTTTTCCAAGGCAAAGAATAGAAAAGATGTATTTCTAGGCTATTTTCCTAATGAATGTCAGGCTTAATTTCTGTGTTATTTAATAAGACCAAATAAACTATTTTTCTGTATCCTACTTGTATACAAGATCTCCAAAATCTGGATTAAATAAAAGCACCATAAATCCTACTGATCAAGACTGTGTGTGGTGACTCATGCCTGTAATCCCAGCACTTTGGGAGGTCAAGGTGAGCTGATTCGCTTGAGCTCAGGAATTTGACACCTGCCTGGGTAACATGGCAGAACCCCGTCTCTATTAAAAAAAAAAAAAAATTCTTACTGATCAAATGGTGAAAACAAAAGTTACAAATGCAAAAGCATGAAACATAACTTTGTTAGCCAGCTTTATTTCCTAGAAACCAGCAAGCACAAGAATTTTAACACCTACCATTTGGAAGCTTAATTATCTGCCATGAAGCCAACATATTGTTACTTAGTTAAGGTAGTTTTATCTGCTTCTTGACTCTATCTGGGTATTTTGTTATAAAGTATCATAGTTTATAATACTACTTCTTCCTTTTTGTTTTTGAGACAGGGTCTTACTCTGTTACCCAGTGGCATCATCTTGGCTCACTGCAACCTCTGCCTCCTGGGTTCAAGCTATTCTCCGGCCTCAGCCTCCCAAAGTGCTCGGATTATAAGTGTAAGCCACCTCACCTGGCCAACTTCTTTTTTTAGTTTATTTTTAATTTAAATAAACAAGAAGACACAGCAGAACCAAATAAACTCTGCTTTTCTGTTCTTTATACTAGAAAGTCTCAGAATTTTTATTGATTTCCTGAAAAAAATAAATATTTTTGAAAATTTATAACATAAAAAAGGAGCTTGGAATGTTTAGGTAGCATCAAGATTCACAAAGAATAGGCCGGGAGTGGTGGCTCACGCCTGTAATCCCAGCACTTTGCAAGGCCGAGTCGGGTGGATCACGAGGTCAAGAGATCAAGACCATCTTGGTAAAATGGTGAAACACCATACAAAAATACAAAAATTAGCTAGGCATGGTGGTGGGCACCTGTAATCCCAGCTACTCAGGAGGCTGAGGCAGGAGAATTGCTTGAACCCAGGAGGCAGAGGTTGCAGTGAGGCAAGATCGCACCACTGCATTCCAGCCTGGCAACAAAGCTGGACTCCATCTCAAAACAAAAACAAAAACAAAGATTCACAAAGAATGATTAAAGGATGGAATGCAAACCAAGTGATTTTGAACACATCCATTTGATTCCAACCTAAGACTGTTGGTTAACTTTTTTTGAAGATATTTATTGTTTTGAATGTTTTGAATTTTTTAATTGTTAACATTAGCTCAGGATCTATTTAAAAATAAATTAAAAGTGGATGGGTATGTTGGCTCACGCCTGTAATCCTAGCACTTTGAGAGGCCAAAGTAGGCAGATCAAGAGGTCAGGAGTTCAAGATCAGCCTGACCAATATACGGTAAAACCCCGTCTATACTAAAAATACAAAAATTAGCCAGGCATGGTGGTGCACGTCTGTAGTCCCAGCTACTCGGGAAGCTAGACAGAAGAATTGCTTGAACCCAGGAAGTGGAGGTTGCAGTGAGCTTAGATTACCCCACTGCACTCAGAGCTACAGAGCGAGATCTGTCTCAAAAGAAAATAAGTGAATAAAATAAAATAAATTAAAAGCTCATGAATTTTGTGTCTGTCTGGAAAATAGGGTTTCACTTTCACAGATATAGAGAGTCCAACACATATCATAGAGTCCAAAAATTTACTCCACGAGATTATAGATTTTTTTTTTAGCTTTCACAGAAGACATTTTAAAAGGCCAAGTGTGGTGGCTCATACCTGTAATCCCAGTATTTTGGGAGGCTAAGGTGAGAGGATTATTTAAGGCCAGAAATTCAAGTCCTGGGCACCAAGCATGACTCAGTCTCTACAAAAACATTTTAAAAAATTAGCCAGGCATGGTGGCATGTTTCTGTGGTCCCAGCTACTTGGGAGGCTGAGGTGGAAGGATCCCTTGAGCCTAGAGGTTCGAGTTGAATATGCCAGCTTGCACAGCAGAGCAGAGGCTGTCTCTTTAAAAGAAAAAAGCAAATTTGATATTGGGAGGTCTGGATAGAAAATGGGCAATAAAGAAAAGGTTACTTTTCCCCTCCAATGTGAAAAATTTGGGTATAACACATGAAATACAAAATTTACCACCCTGACCTTTTTTTTTTTAAGAGATGAAGTCTCACTCTGTCACCCAGGGTGGAGTGCAGTGGCATGATCCAGGCTCACTGCAACCTCCGCCTCCCAGGTTCAAGTAATTCTCCTACCTCAGCCTCCCAAGTAGCTGGAATTACAGGCTCTCCCCACCACATCCGGCTAACTTTTGTATTTTTGGTAGAGTTGGGGTTTTACAATGTTTTTCAGGCTAATCTCAAATTCCTGACCTCAAGTGATGTGCCCACCTCGGCCACCCAAAGTACTGGGATTATAGGTGTGAGCTACTGCACCCAGCCTACCTTGACCTTTTTAAGTGTACAGTTCAGTCGTATAAAACACACCCATAAAGCTGTGTAATTAACATGACCACTCATCTCTAGAACTGTTTACATTTTGTAAGACTGATACTCTATATCCATTAAACAGTAACTTCCTGTTTCCTTATTCCCCTAGCCCCTGGCAATTACCATTCTACTTTCTGTCTCTGATATATATATATATTTTTTTTTCAAATGTTCTGGCTCAGTGTCTATGTCTCTATGACTCTGACTATACCTACACTCATATCAATAGAATCATACAGTATTTGTCCTTTGTGACGGGGTTATTTCACTTAGCATAATGTCCTCAAGCTTCATCCATACTATAGCATATCAAAATTTCTTTTAAAGGTTGAATAATATTCCACTGTATGGACACAGCATTTTGCTTATCCATTCACCTCTTGATGGATACTTCAATTACTTCCACATTTTAGCTATTGTGAATGCTGCTGCTGTGAACACAGGTTTACAGATACCTCTCTGAGACCCTGCTTTCATTTCTTTGGAGTATACATGCAAAATGGAATTTCTTAATCACATGGCAATTCTGTGTTTAATTTTTTGAGGAACTGCCACACCGTTTTCCACAGTGACTATACCATTTTACATTTCCATTATCTGCAAAGAGGTTCCAATTTCTCCACATACTCACCAATAATTATTTATTTTTTAAAGTAACCTTCCTAATGAGTGTGAAGCAGTATCACAGAATAGTTTTGAACTGCATTTCCCTCATAACTAGTGATGCTGAGCATCAGCATCTTTTCATATGCTTATTAGCCAGCTGCATATTTTTCTTTGGTGAAAGGTCCATTCAAGTCCTTTGCCCATTTCTGAATTGGGTTGTTTTTTTGTGGCTAAGACTTCCTACTATTTTTAATGATACTACTTTGATTTAAGTGCTCTGTCTGGTAGAATTCCCAATGATCACTTTAACATTTTCTAAATAGAAAAAGAAAACAAGACAAATCATCCTTCTGGTATGGTTTTGGTTAATGACTTCTCCAGGAACTATCATTATTCTGGGGTTTCAACTATAGATATAGAACTTAAATACAAATTAATTGTCATAATTAAAATAATATTAAGAGGTGTAAGCTGAAAGACGTTTGTAGTTTGCTCAGTTATAAGAAAACAACAATTAAGGCCAGGCTCGTGGCTCACTCCTGTAATCTCAGCACTTTGGGAGGTCAAGGCATGTGGATCACAAGGTCAGGGGACTGAGACCTCAAGCCTGGTGACAGAACGAGACTCTGTCTCAAAAAAAAAAAAAAAAAAAAAAAAAAAAAAAAAAAAAAAAAAAAAAAATGAACAGTCAAAATTTGAGGTTAAAAAACCATTTTTACCTTTATTATCCTTATCCATTTTAGGAAGAAATACATATGTGCAGGCTCAACCATAAGAAAATAAAATTATACTGAAAAATGTAGAAGACATCTTACCGGATCTGTTGCAGTGATATGGGCATTTTAATTTGCTGGTAATAATCAGGGTATTTTTTCTTTGAGGGTAAATGGAAAAAAGGTTCAGCTATTAGCTGCCCTTGGTTATTCCGACAACTCCTAACTGTGTCATAAAGCTGATAAAAAGGATTTGAAACATCCATAAAGGAAGTGATGCTTTCTGCTTCTGACTCTCCCTCTTCATAACGTGCAGCTGGAAAAACAAAAAAAGTATTTATAAGGGGAAGAATGAGATGAAGAAAGAACCACACTTTAAAGTTCATTTCACAACCTTCTAGACTGAATTATATATACTTGAGACTTATTATTTTCATTTTTGAGACAAGGTCTGGCTCTGTCACCCAGGCTGGAGTGCAATGGTGCAATCTTGGCTCACTGCAACCTCTGCCTCCAGGGCTCAATTTTCCTGCTTCAGTCTCCCGAGTAGCTGAGACCACAGATGCACACCACCACGCCTGACTAATTTTTTGATTTTTTAGTAGAGATGGGGTTTCATCATGATGCCCAGGCTGGTTTCAAGCTCCTGAGCTCAGGTGATCCACCACCCTCAGCCTCCTGAAGTGCTTGGGATTACAGGTGTTAGCCACCATGCCAGGCCCTTTTTAAAAAAATTATAAGATAAATAATTACTTTTAAAAAAACGGTATCTAAGGCTGGGCATGGTGGCTAATGCCTGTAATCCCAGCACTTGTGGGAGGTCGAGGCAGGCGGATCACAAAGTCAGGAGGCGGGGACCAGCCTGGCCAACATGATGAAACCCCATCTCTATTAAAAATACAAAAAATAGCTAGGTGTGGTGGCGTGCACCTGTAATTCCAGCTACTCGGGAGGTTGAGGTACTCCTCTTTTTCATATAGAGAAAACTGGGCAGGTGAGGTTAATTACTTGCACAAGTTCAGCCACCACATAAAGCAGTTAAAGGGGACTGGGAACCAGAGTCATGGAACTAGAAGCAGGTTAAGAATTTGAAACTAGTCTTTTCTGACTCTACTACCTCTGATCTCTTCCCTAAAGAGCTTGGAGTTGGATTTACACCTAGATATATATTTTGTTGCTCCTGTAAGCTGCATCTTTTAAAAAAATTATCAACTGTAATCCTTACACAGCTTTTCTGATCCTTACACCTTCACTGTTGTCATTGTAGGCTGGCTAGTACTATGACTAACAAAGCTAACAGTACTGCCCTGTTTCTATTGGTAAGGAAAATGCTGTTACCTTTTCTCAGTTAAAAATGGAGACACCTTTGGTGGGCACGGTGGTTCACATCTGTAATCCCGACAATTTGAGAGGCGGAGGTGGGTAGATTGCCTGAGCTCAGGAGTTTGAGACCAGCATGGGCAACATGATGGAACCCCGTCTCTACCACAAATACAAAAAATTTGCTGGGTGTGTTGGCACATGCCTGTGGTGCCAGCTATGCCGGAGGTTGATGTGGAAAGACTGCTTAAGCCTGGGAGGTGAAGATGGCAGTGAGCTGAGATTGGGCCACTGCACTCCAGCCTGGGCCACACAGTGAGACCCAGTCTCAAGAAAAAACACAGGCTGGGAGCAGTGGCTCACACTTGTAATCCCAGCTACTTGGGAGCTGAGGCAGGAGAATTACTTGAATGGGACAGGGAGGTTAAAGTGAGCAGAGGTTGCAGCAGGCAGATGCTGTGCAACTGCACTCCAGCCTGGGTGACAAGAGCAAAACTCTGTCTCAAAAAAAAAAAAAAAAAAAAAAAGATAGTCTGTATTAATCCCCCTTCTCTTACTAGTTATCAGATAATTTTTATCTTGAATGGAAACTGAAATAGTTATCAAATGCATTTGCTGAGTAAATCATATGATTTTACTCTTTTGTTACTGTGGTGAATTTACTTTTAAAAAAAATTTTTATTTTTATTTTTTATTTTTAATGAAGCACTGTGGTTTGTATGAATTTACTTTTTTATCTTTTCTAATGCTAACCCCAACTGTGTCATTATATACCATCTTTTAAATAACACTGCTAGACAGTGTGCTTATATTTTGTTAGGCTTTGATGTCTAGGTTATATTAGATTCACAGGTTATATTAGATTCATAGAATGAACTCGGGAGCTCTTTTTCTGTTCTCTGCATTGAGTTTATACAAAATTCTATTCCTTAAGTGTCTGGCCTGGTGTTTAAGAGACACAGAGTCTCACTCTGTTGCCAAGGCTGGAGTGCAGTGGTACAATCACAGTTTAAGGTAAACTCAAACTCCTGGGCTCAAGCAGTCCTCCTGCCTCAGCCTACAAAGTAGGTAGGACTACAGACATGCAACACACCACACCCAGCTAATTTTTCTTTTTCTTTTTGTAGAGATGAGGTGTCACTATATTGCCCAGGCTGGTCTTGAACTCCTGGATTCAAGTCATCCTCCTGCCTCTGCCTCCCAAAGTGTTGGGATTACAGGCGTGAGCCAGCCTTTTTATTCGGGAATCCATTTTAGGCATTTGTCATTTTCTAGAAATCTGTTCATCTAAATTTTAAAATTTATTTTCATAAAGTTATTCACGCTTTTTTTTGGGGGGGTTGGGGGTGGGGGACGAAGTCTCACCCTTGTTGCCCAGGTTGGAGTGCAATGGCACAATCTTGGCTTACAGAAACCTCCACCTCCCAGGTTCAAGCAATTCTCCTGTCTCAGCCTCTCGAGTAGCTGGAATTACAGGCATGCACCACCATGCCTGGCTAATTTTGTATTTTTTTCTTCTTTTTGAGACAGAGTCTCGCCCTGTGGCCCAGGCTGTAGTGCAATAGCATGATCATGGCTCACTGCAACCTCCGCCTCCTGAGTTCAAGTGATTCTCCTGCCTCAGCCTCCCAAGTAGCTGGGATTATAGGTGTCCACCACCACACTCAGCTAATTTTTTATATCTTTAGTAGAGACAGGGTTTCATCATGTTGGCCAGGCTGGTCTTGAACCCCTGACCTCATGATCCGCCCGCCTCGGCCTCCCAAAGTGCTGGGATTACAGGCACGAGCCACCATTTCCAGCCCCATAATTTTGTATTTTTAGTAGAGACAGTGTTTCTCCATGTTGGTCAGGCTGGTCTTGAACTCCCAACCTCAGATGATCCACCTGCCTCAGCCTCCCAAAATGCTGGGATTACAGGAGTGAGTCACCGGGCCTGGCCTCATTCACACATTCTTTTTAAAAATTCTGTATGCTCTCCTCCCCACCAATATTGTTTACTTATGCCTTCTTGATTATCTCATCTCAGATTTGTTTATTAAGGGTTTTGACAGAATAACTTTTGACTTTATTGATCTTTCCTGTTAAAGGTTTCCTTTCTTTTTCTTTTTTTGAGACAGGGCTGGAGTGTAGAGGTGAGATTCTGACTCAATGCAGCCTCAACTTCCCAAGCTCAAGTGATCCTACCATCTCAGCCTCTGGAGTAGCTGAGGCTACACATGGCTAATTTTAAAATTTTTCTTGTAGAATTAGCTGGGTATCGTGGCAATGTACCTGTGGTCCCAGCTACTGGGGAGGCTGAGGCGGCAGGATTGCTGGAGCCCAGGGGTGGAGGTTGCAGGGAGCAGAGATCAGACCACTGCACTCCAACCTGGGTGACAGAGTGCAACCCTGTCTCAAAAAAAAATTTTTTTTTTGGTAGAGGCAAGGTCTTTCTATGTTGAGCAGGCTGGTTTCAAACTTCTGGACTCAAGCGATGCTCTTGTCTCATCCTCTAAAACTGCTGGGATCACAGGCACAAGCCAGTGCACCAGCCTGCATTGTTTTAAGCCACTAAGTTTGTGGTACTGTGTCAGCAGCAATAGGAAACAAATACATACATGAAGAAGTGTGTTCAAATCTCTATCTTCACTGGTTTTCTGTTCAGCTAGAGGGAAGAGGGCTCTTAGACTAAGGGTAGTGTTTTAAATTTCTCTGTAAAGTTTAATCTGCTTGTTTTACATATTTTGAGCTCTTCCACAATTTATCTTGCTGAAGAAATTAACCTTCTACCAGTATCAGGTAATCCTTTTTATTTGTGTAATGATCTTTGTTTGCAGGTCCATCTTATCAAAAGTCAATGTAGCTACTCCAGTTATTATTTGCCCGGTGTATCTTTTAGCCATCCTTTTTTTCTTTTATTTAAGACAAAAGCCCAAATTTATTATTTTTATTTAACTACACATGGCTAATTTAAAAATTTTTTTAAAATTTATTTTTTGAGAAGGGTCTCATTCTGTTGCACAGGCTGGAGTGGAGTGGTATAATCACAGCTCACCGCAGCCTCGACCTCTCTGGGCTCAGGATCCTCCCACCTCAGCTTCCCAAGTAGCTAGGACTACAGGCATGCACCAACACACCTGAAAAAAATTTTTATCTTCTGTAGATACAGCATTTGGCCATGTTGCCCAGGCTGGTCTTGAACTTTTGGGCTCAAGCGATCCTCCTACCCAGGCTGCCCAAAGTGTTGGGAGTATGGGTGTGAGTCACTGCACCTGGCCTTATCCTTTTAGATTCAACTTTCTTATATTTTTATATTTAAGATGTGTCTCTTGTAATCAGCCATATAACCTCTTTTTTTTTTTTTTTTTTTTTTTTTTTTTGAGATGGAGTCTTGCTTTTTTTTTGAGATAGAGTCTGGCTCTGTTGCCCAGGCAAGAGTACAGTGGCGTGATCTCAGCTCACTGCATCCTCTGCTTCCTGGGATCAAGACACTCTCCTGACTAAGCCGACCAAGTAACTGAGACTACAGACATGCACCATCATGCCTAGCCAATTTTTGTATTTTCAGTAGAGACAGGGTTTCACCATGTTGGCCAGGTTGGTCTTGAACTCCTGACCTCAAGTGATCCACCTGCCTCAGTCTCCCAAAGTGCTGGGATCACAGGTGTGAGCCAATGTGCCCAGCCATGTGTCACTTTTATAATCAGTAAAAAAGAAGGCTAACAACAAGATATTATTTTTTTCAATTTCTGGTAAGACCAGGCCCAATTTAAATTTAAAAATACTTAATTCTGTATATCAATGTGTCAAAAAGGTAGATTTATAAATAATGGTGTACAGTGATTATGAAATTTCTATAAAAGATTTAGTTAAAAACAAGATACAACTGGAGAAATCTGTTGTATAACATTCAGTTGTAAAATTGACAGATACACCAGAATAATTTAGTGAAACAAATTTTATCTTTACACATAAAAAAAAATTTATGGTAAAAGGGAAAATACTATATAAAACTTAAGAGAAAGACAATTACATCAAATATACCTCTACTACTGTCCTTTAGGATGTCATTTATTAACACATGGTGTTCTTTAACATTGATTTCTAATGCCTAATAATGCCCTTTCTTGGGCTTGTTTAAATGACAATTTACCACACTGCTTTCTGATTATAACTTATATACCTTTAAATCATAAGTTCTAGCCAAGAAGAAATTAGAACCTACTGACAATGTAAGCTAAAGGCCTGAAAATCTAATATGAATGTGGATTTCTGAGATTTTCTGATGCTTTTACTAGTTCTCACTATCATTGTAGGTTTTAAATCAGGATCTCCTAGATTATCAATTATTTTTGCAGAAGTATAATTTACCCAAATATGAGTTTAAGACAAGATAAAGCATTAAGCGTTTGATAAATATGACAACCAGGGTACAATCAAATGCAACAAAATAGCATGTACTTCCCAAACCAGCAAACTCTAGGCTAGAAGAAAATCACTACAATTTCCTTTAGCCAGAAGGATCCACTGAGAAGGCATTTGACTACTGAAAACCTAATGCCTACCAGCTAAAGCAGCATCTTCTTCACTTTCTGAGCCATACTGAAGTGCCATCGTAATTGCTGATAAACGACCTCCTTGTACTGCTCTTTTATTACTACAAAAAAAAAAAAAAAAAAAAAAAAAGGCCATCAGAAGACAGGGAAGGATGTTATAATAATTAGGTTACTTTATAGGGAATAGGAACTGTTAACAATGTGTTAAGGTAAAAGAAAAATAATTTCTATTCAACTGCCTCCTTAGTTTCTTTCTGTACTTAATGGTCCTCATAATCAATCTTTAGCCGAGGAAACTTTTTTCCTCTCAGAAAAGAGGGAGTGGAAAATAAGGATTCAGTCACGGTTGCTGATAATTCTCTTTGAAGACATTCATATTTTATAACACAAACTGAATTGTAACGCTAGACATGGTGGCTCATGCCTGTAATCTCAGCGCTTTTGGAGGACGAGGCGGGTGGATCACCTGAGGTCAGGAGTTTAAGACTAGCCTGGCCAACACGTTGAAACCCGATCTCTTAAAAAATAAAAAATACAAAAAATTAGCCTGGTGTGGTAGCAGGCACCTGTAATCCCAGCTATTCAGGAGGCTGAGGCAGAAGAATCGCTTGAACCCGCGAGGTGGAGGTTGCAGAGATCATGTCACTGCACTCCAGCCTGGGCAAAGACAGCAAAACTTCATCTCAAAAAAAAAAAAACAAAAAAAAACGCACACCCAAAACAAATTCTATTCTGAATTTAGAAAACCTAGGCTGGGCACAGTGACTCACGCCTATAATCCCAGCACTTTGGGAGGCCGAGGCAGGTAGATCACGAGGTCAAGAGATCGAGATCATCCTGGTCACCACGGTGAAACCCTGTCTCTACTAAAAATACAAAAATTAGCTGGGCATTGTGGTACACGCCTGTAGTCTCAGCCACTTGGGAGGCTGAGGCAGGAGAATTGCCTGAACCCAGGAGGCGGAGGCTGCGGTGAGGCGAGATCACGCCATTGCACTCCAGCCTGGGTAACAAGAGCAAAACTCCGTCTCAAAACAAACAAACAAACAAACCTATTAGTATTTAACTTCACATTTTATTGGTAACTAACATTAAACACTGCCTCACAAATGATGCTTAAGCATTGTCTGAGAGGCGATGTAAGGCTTACTTTAGTAACTCAACCTTTTTTATTTTGAGGCGGAGTTTCCCTCTGTTGCCCTGGCTGGAGTGCAGTGACATATCTCAGCTCACTGCAACCTCCACCTCCCAGGTTCAAACAATTCTCCCACCTCAGCCTCCCAAGTAGCTGGGATTACAGGTGTCCACCACCACATCCATGGGGTTTCAACATGTTGGCCAGGCTGGTCTCGAACTCCTGACCTCAAGTGATCCCCCACCTCAGCCTCCTAACACTGTTAGGATTACATGTGTGAGCCACCAAGCCCAGCCTAGTAACGGAACCTTTTAAATAAACCATTTGACAACAAATTTTCATAACAACCCAACTATACCCAAAATATTCCTTCAAAATAGCCACTGGGAAAATACTAGTATGCATATCTTCATAAGCACAGGTCAGCTCTCAGACTGAACACTTTTTCTCACCGATAATACTTGCTAGTGGGATTTCTCTCTTCACCAAGGCTGCCTTTACTGTGTGAAGGACCTGTCAGTCTGGCTGCAGCCAAGTTTGATGGAGTCCTATCCAGAGATAAGATAAAAATGCTTAGAAACCTGGTAGCTATGTGTGGGTACACACACACATACACTCGTACACACACACACACACACACACACACACACACCCATTTTCTTCTCATCTAAATAGAAATGCTAAAATACTGAACTTCTACTATGCAGCATATTCTGCTTCAGGTCCTGGGGACTCTGCAAGGAAAAACAGATCAGGGCTGGTCCTAGAGAGCTTCTCGTCACTGCAGTGACCAAAACACCTGGTATCGAAACAATGTTAAGCCTAGAGGAAAGCTTTGAAAGTAGCTACCCAACCTTCTCATTTCAGGTAGGGGGAAATACAATCCTAAAACTAAGACTACTTCAAGATCACAGTTCTAGTATAAGGAAAAGCCAGGATGAGTCTGTGGGTTTCCTGATAACTGGCTAAATAGCCTTACCCAAAAACCGAATATAAACTGATATTATATATAAATACTGTACTATTAAATACATATTTATTCTGTGTAATATTAACGTATAATATATATTACATATATGTATATATATTCATACTGTACAAAGCAATAAAAGTATATAGTGATAAGTTTTTAAAAATGCTTATTTTTAAATAAAGCCCTTCAGCAGCAATGAAGGGGCTGGCTAAGAGTTACTACTATCTTCAGAATCATATTACCAACTGTAAGTATCATCTTGAAATGCAACACCAACCATGTTTATGTTTATTGATTTAACTACCTAGAAAATTCAGCAAATATAAAGGCAGGGGGGGTTTAGACATTTTCTTTCTTTTTTTTTTTTTTTTTTTTTTTGACAGAGTCTTGCTCTGTCACAAGGCTGGGGTACAGTGGTGCGATCTTGGCCCACAGTAACCTCTGCCTCCTGGGTTCAATCGATTCTCCTCTCTAAGCCTTCCGAGGAGCTGGGACTATAGGCATGCACCACCACCATGCCCAGCTAATTTTTGTATTTTTAGTAGAGACAGGGTTTCACCATGTTAGCCAGGTTGGTCTCAATCTCTTGATCTCATGATCCGCCCGCGTCAGCCTCCCAAAGTGCTGGGATTACAGGTGTGAGCCACTACGCCTGGCTTAGACATTTTCTTAAACTTACCTCATTCGAAGACTTGACTTAGCCATTTCATGATGTTCAATTTCGGCCTTTTTCATGTAAAATATTTTTTTAATTGAATTTGCATCCTGTCAAGATGAAATTACTTGGTTTAAAAAAGGAACAGATAAAAGGACAGCTAAAACCCCCAACTCATGCTCTGGGCACCATCTACGGTACTCTTTCCACTTGGAGCAAATTTCCATACAATATCCACAAACCTGCATCCTCTAACCTTTCTGCAAGCTTCCAAAATATCTATCTTCATAAAGTTGTCACTAACTAAATGTAAGTTAAAATGCCTCCTAGTTCTTTCATGATTAGTCAAGTAATATTAAGACAAAGATCTACTGGTATAATACAGTAATGCCCCATTGTCCATGGAAGATATAACAACACCCCCAGTAGATGCCTGAAACCTTGGACAGCACCAAACCTGGAACACATTTCAGTCTATGACTTCCAGCCACAAATTTAATACCTTTTCCATCTTAACTAAGCACTTTTCATGGACTGTGGCTATAACTTTTTGCAGTCTAAGGTGCAACAATAAAACTAGCATACTTCGACCAGGCGCAGTGGCTCATGCCTGTAATCCCAGCACTTTGGGAGGCAGAAGCGGGTGGATCACGAGATCAGGAGTTCGAGACCAGCCTGGCCAACATGATAAAACCCCATCTCTACTAAAAATACAAATATTAGCTAGGCATGGTGGCATGTGCATGTAATCCCAGCCACTTGGAAGCCTGAGGCAGGAGAATCACTTGAACCAGGGAGTCGGCAGTTGCGATGAGTGGAGATTGTGCCACTGCACTCCAGCCTGGTAACAGGGCAACGGTCTGTCTCAAGAAGAAAAAAAAAAAAAAACAGCAAACTTCTTTTTCCTTCTTTACCGTTTCATGAATAGCAGATTCATCTTTTTTTCTTTCTTTTTTTTTTTTTTTTTTTTTTTTTTTTTGGTGGAAACAGTCTTGCTATGTAGACCAGGCTGGTCTCAAACTCCTAGCCTCAAATCATCCTCCTGCCTTGGCCTCTCAAAGTGCTGGGATTACAGGCCTAAACACAGTGCCCAGCCAGGAGATTCGTTCTTACCATAGATCTTAGCAATCTCTGCATGCTTTTTTCTTTTCCTTTCTTAAGTCAAGAACTTTCACCTTTTCACTAAAAGGAATCACTTTAAAGCTTATTTAATTGCCAACATCATAAGTCTTGTCCTTTGGTGCCATTATTAAGTACAATAAGGTTACTTGAACACAAGCACTGTGATACCATAACAATCGATCTGATAACCAAGATGGCTACCTTAGTGACTAACGGCAGGTGGCATATACAGTGTGAATAGGCTGAACAAAGGAATGATTCATGTCCCAGGTGAGACAGGATAGGACAGAGGTGGATGGCATGAGATTTCATCACAATACTCAGAATGGTGTGCAATTTAAACTTATGAACTGCTTATTTCTGGAATTTTCCATTTAATACATTTAATATTTTCTGACCTTAGAACCACAGAAAAGGTGATGAACTATGGACAATGAACTCTACTTGTGTACACTGACCTAAAAATCAAAATAAAGATGCACTTTTAAGATTAAAGATTATATACATAAGTATATAAACTTATATACGTAAGTTTAGAATGAATGTACTTGCTTAAGTTTCTCTTTTCTTTAAAACTTATGTTAGAAAAAATAATTAGACCCAAAAGTAAAATTCTCAAACAACTAGCACTGTACACTATCAAAATGTCCTATCCTGATATTCACTCGGAATTTCTTTTTTTCTTTTTGAGACAGAGTCTCACTCTGTCACCCAGGCTGGAGTGCAGTGGTGTGATCTCGGCTCACTGCTACCTCTGCCTCGGGTGCAAGTGATTCTCCTGCCTCAGCTTCCCTAAGCAGTGTGGTGCATGTCACCATGCCCAGCTAATTTTTTGATTTTTGGTAGAGACGGGGTTTCACCATGTTGGCCAGGATGGTCTGTCTCTTGACCTCATGATCCACCCGCCCTCGGCCTCCCAAAGTGCTGGGATTACAGGCGTGAGCCACTACGCCCTGCCCAGAATTTCTTAAAATATGAAAAATAAAAGTTATCATTAACTACCAATAGCAGTTTTGAGTATTTAAGTCAGCATTCAGAAAATCTAAATGATTTCATTCCCAAAAGATTTTCTGAGCATCCTTTGGCAAATTATCAATGATATATGATTAATTCAATAACTTTCTACAAGCAATTATTCATTACAGAACTATAAAACTTCAAAAAGGGAATTTGCAAAGCAATGAAACAGTCATTTTACATTGTGTATTTTTATATATACAGACTGCTTGTTATATTTATGAAGTTTAAAGGCAGGGAGTAAGTCAGTATTTAACTAAAAAATGAGTTCAAAACTAACCAGGTCTGGCATAAGGACAGAAATTCAGGTGAGTGGAACAGAACCAAGAATCTAGAAATAAACTCATACGTCTGTGGCCAATTGATTTCTAACAAAGTTGCCAAGACAATTCAATGGAAAAAGAATAATCTTTTCAATATATGGCGCTGGGATAATATCTCATGTCAAAGAATGGATTTGGACTCCTACCTTACATGTACCTCACACATACAAAAATTAATTCAAACTGGATCAAGGATCTAAACATGTTAAGAGCTAAACTATAAAATTCTCATAAGAAAACACAGGTGTATGTATTTGTGATTTTGCATTAGGCAATGGTTTATTTGATACGACACCTAAGCATCAGCAACTAAGGAAAAAATAGATAAAGTGGACTTCATCAAAATTAAAAACTTCTGTGTCAACAGACACGATCACAAAAGTGAAACGACAAGAGAATGAGAGAAAATATTTGCAGACCATTTATATGACAAGCGTATAATATCCAGAACATACAAAGAACTCTTGCAACTCAACAACAAAAAGACAGGTGACACAATTAAAAAAACGGGCAAATGATCTGGACATTTCTCCAAAAACATATGAATGACCTAAAAATCAAAATAAAGAATAAAATTAAAAGATGTTGAACATCATTAATCATTAGGGAAATCTAAGTTAAAACCACAATGCACGATGCCATACCACTTCACACCCACTGAGATAGCTACAAGAAGAACAAAAACAAAAATGGAAAACAAGTGTTGGCGAGGATATGGAGAAATGGTAACACCTGGATATTGCTGGTGGGAATGTAAAATGGTATAGTTTGGAAAACAGTTTGGCGGTTCTTCAGAAAGTTAAATATACAGTTACCACATGACCCCGCAATATCATTCCTAGGTATGAATCCAAGAGGAAAAAAAAAAAAAATGTATAATATATGAATTTATATGTCCACATAAAAATTTCGATGTGAACATTCACAACAGCATTATTTATAATAGTCAATAAGTAGAAACTATCTAAATATTATCAACTAATGAATGGGTAAATAAAATACGGTATAACCATATAGTAGAACATTATTCAGCAATAAAAAGAACATAGCACTGACAGATGCTACAACATGGATGAACCCTGAAAACATGCTAAAGTGAAGGAATCTAGTCGCAAAAAAATCCATACCCCATATTTTATGATTTCATATGTATAATATGGCAATAGGCAAACATATAGAGACTGAAAACAGATTTGAGGTTGCTTAGGGCTGGAGACGTTGGGGGGACATAAAAAGCGACTGTTGGCTGGGTGTGGTGGCTCACACCTGTTATCCCAGCACTTTGGGAGTCCAAGGTGGGCAGATCACAAGGTCAAGAGATCGTGACCATCCTGGCCAACACGGTGAAACCGTCTCTACTAAAAATACAAAAAAATTTGCCGGGCATGGTGGCACATGCCTGTGGTCCCAGCTACTCAGGAGGCTGAGGCGGAAGAATCTCTTGAACCCAGGAGGTGGAGGTTGCAGTGAGCCGAGGCTGCGCCTCTGCACTCCAGCCTGGCAACAGAGCAAGACTCCGTCTCAAAAAAAAAGCAATTGTTAATTGACTGGAGTAATGGCTGCACTGCACAACTCTATGAATATGCTAAAAACTATTAAATACCTTAAATGGGTAAAGTGGATGGTATGTGAATTATATCTCAATAAATCTGTTATATAAAAATTATTGACCTTAAATTAAACTATCTACTATTACCAATGAAAACAACAAAAACTAACCTTGAATACTTGAGAACCAGGCTCATTATAAGTTTTGGCATTTTTTGCTAGGAGATCTATATCTTTGGCCATTGCATGAATACTTTTGTAGCTTCCATTCTACAGCAAACAACAAAATACAGCAGTTCCTTTTAATGAGTGAGTACAACCTTTAAAAAAAAACCCTCTACATATTTCTAAATTGTCACCATATTCTAGGACTTTATTGGAAAGTACACAGATTAACAACATGTAAAGTCATTTTCTTTTTTATAAATTATTACGGCACCCATTTATAAGTAAGTTTTTTAGATAGGTAAAACCAGAGTTGCATTATTCTCATGAAAATAAATTACAATGTTTAAAAAGTCAGGTACCTAAGGTAGAAGTTTTATCTCACAAACACAAAGTGCTTACTATGTGCCAAGCACAGTTCTAAGTTCTTCATGAATACTAATTCTTTCAAATGGATTTAGTAGTGTGAAGCAAATCTCCCTCTAGTTACATGGACTACTTGGGGTAAAATATGAAATCAGTCCAGCACAGAGGCTAACATTTTGTGAGTACCTACTGTGTGCTACAGCTATCACATCCTAAGCTCACTCAATCCAAAATGACCCAGGAATACTCATATAGTTGCCTAAATTTACAAAGAAAATGAAAGAGGGACACATTTTTAGGTAAGAGGCACACATGACTAATGATAAGTAAACAGAAATGAAAAAGACATGGCTTGGAGAGAGTGAGAAAACCAAACTAAGTGAAGTGGAAGGTGAAGGGTAGAACCATAAGCACAGATAGGGTAAAAACAAAAGAGGCACAATCCAGACAAAGGAGTGTAGCTATTCATCATGTGGGATTACCCAACAACTATGCATCCTTCGTATACTGAGGGAATCCCAGCACAGGCGTAGGGAAGGCTCTACCTCCCACAATGAGGATAAGAGTGGGCAGATGGTCACTTTGTTAGCAGCCTGGCAGCCAGGGCAAGAGGAAATAACCACAGGTCCACAGATCAGCTAATTCATGCTTAGGTCTAGAGGGACTAATGCAATGGCCAGGATTCATTCCTGACTCCTGCAATGGCAGGAATTCATTCCCAACTCTTGAAGAAGAGGAGAGTCTAGCAGTGGAACAGCAAATATCCAGGGACCACAGTGGCAAATGACAGTAGTAACAGCAATAGCACCACACAGGCTGTGCATAATCTCAGCTGTGCCATAATGTTCCTGAGTTCTGCCTAGTATTCAAAGGCTAGTTCTTCAACCTTCATTCCCAATAATTCTATGAGCTATCCAATACGCTTTTCAAAAATTTCTTTTCTCCTTAAGTTAGTCAGAGTTGGTTTTGTTCAACTGGTACAAGGAGTTGTGACATGCTTTAGCAGGCATTAGAAAACAAGTGAATTAAGTCTCTGAGCAGGGGACTGGCAAGAAGAAAGCCAAGGTCAGCGGGCAAGATACAGAAAGGACTAGAAAGCTTTTCATCAGAGAGGTAGGACAGATTATTCCAGTGATTTGGACATAAGAGGACAAGGACCTTGAATCGGGTGACAGCAAAAGGCAACTCTGAGACTTTTGGAAAGAAGAAAGGACAAGATAAGGTGAGAAGTCAAAGAGAGAAGACTGGGGTTGAGGTACAGATGACTAAAGATCTGATTCGATTTCCAGGATTATGAAAACATAATCCCCCTACTCAGATGTTAGAAATTCCAGGGATTTAGGAGACTTGAGTCATTCTCAGTAGCAGTTATTGGGATGATTTAAAAACCAGATGAGGCTGGGCATGGTGGCTCACGCTTGTAATTCCAACACTTAGGGAGGCCAAGGCAGGTGGATCACTTGAGGTCAGGAGTTTGAAATCAGCCTGGCCAACATGGTGAAAACCAATCTTCACTAAAAATACAAAAATTAGCCAGTCATGTTGGTAGGCATCTGTAATCCCAGCTACTAGGGAGGCTGAGGCAGGAGAATTACTTGAGTCCAGGAGGTAGGGGTTGCAGTGAGCTGAGATCACACAACTGCGTCCCAGCCTGGGTGACAGGCAAAACTCAGTCTCAAAACAAAACAAAACACCATTAAAAAAACAGATGATACATTAGGGAATCTGCATTTCATCATTCCGTGAAAATTTATCCGTGGTACCAGTAATTTATACACTGTTACTCTTTACTAACCTCTTAGAATTTAAAGCCAAAGAAGTTTCTCCTTCCTGGCAAACCACAGTTGCTATCAGTCTCATCTCTCAATAAGACTATGTAACACATTGTTTTCCTTTTTGCCTTACCTCCTGGGAGCAGCAAACCCTCCTTATCCTGGGAAGATCAGTGACTCATATTTACGGGGGCCTCATGCTGTACATTCTATGTGAGATGATTTATCTATATTACCACTAACCTCTATGACTCTGCAAAGTGGTGATGCTACACGCAACATACAGCAGAGGAAACAGGCAAATCACCTGACGAAAGTGACATAGCTGGTAAGTAGTAGAGCTAGAAAAAGAACCACATCAGTTCTACTCTAAATACTAAATTTCTGGTACAATTTAGCTCTTTCTCCCTATATTTTCCCTTACTTCTAATCATCAAATTTTAAAACCTAGTCAGTCACACAGTATTTATTAAGCACCTACTCTGTGGAGAAACAGTGTAAGGGTTGAGAACACAGACTGGAGTCAGACTGTCTGGATTCAAATCCTAGCTCTCCTTACTAGGTGGTGATTTGGGTAAGTTACTTAACGTCTCTGGGCTTCAGTTTTCTACCTGCAAAATGAGAATACTAACAGTACTACCCTGCGGAGTTTTAAGAATTAACTAGCTAATTCACATAAAGCACTTAAAACAGTACTAGTTACATAGCAAGTCTATGTGAGTGATTAGTTGCTACTATTTACTGCTAGGGATACAGTGAAGGGGAGGGTAGAGAGAGCAAAAAAGAAAAATGTAGCATCTAATTCCACTGACCTTACACTCTAACATCCATTGTGGGTGCATTTTATTCTAACGTATCCTAAAGCTATTTCAAAGCAGATAAAAATAGACCACAAGTTACCCTGTCTACCCTGATGTGATTATTAATGCATTGTATGCTTGTATCAAAATTTCATGTATCCCATAAATATATGCACCTGCTATGCACCCACAAAAATTAAAAATAAAAATTTAAAAATGAAACGACAAAGCTTTTATTGCCAATGTATCTTTTATAAACAGAAATGTCAGTAACCAATGCTTTTTTTGTCCTAAGATGCAACCCAAAACTACAATCAGTAACATTAATTTGTTTACATGATTTGCTATTAACCCCTTACAGAGACATCTAGCTTCTGTTTTCTAAAAGCTCCTGGGGAAGATCATAGGCCAATCTGCTCTAAACCACACACATTTACATATGGTCACCTTCATACCTGTATCCTCTGAGCAATGGTCTTGAGATCTATAGGCTCCTTAATTATTGCATAATAATCTGGATATTGCTGGAAGACAAAAAGCCAGGCATGCTCAATAAGTTAAAGTATTCAGCCAATCAGAAGAGAAGGAAGTACGCTGACAATCTGTTGTTCTACCAGTTAAGCAGCTTTGTGAGATTCAAGGCTAAAGACACAGCTATACAGCATGTTTATTTTATCTGAAGCAAAAAGAATTTGATTTTAAGAAGCTTCATGACCTATCTAACAGCATGACATAAAAGTTAACACTTGGTATTGAGAGTTATTATGCAACTAGCATACTATAATTTAATGTTTTTAAAAAATTCTAGGCCAGGAGACGTGGCTCATGCCTGTAATCCCAGCACTTTGGGAGGCCAAAGCAGGCGGATCACGAGGTCAGGAGATCGAGACCATCTGGCTAACATGGCGAAACCCTGTCTCTACTAAAAATACAAAAAAAATTTAGCCGGGCATGGTGGCACATGCCTATAGTCCCAGCTATTTAGGAGGCTGAGGCAGGAGAATCACTTGAACCCGAGAGGTGGAGGTTGCCATGAGCCAAGACTGTGTTACTGCACTCCAGCCTGGGCAACAGAGCGAGACTCTGTCTAAAAAAAAAAAAAAAAAAAAATTCTAAATTCACAGAATTCTACAATTTTTCATGGAAGGTGCAGAAAAAATGCTCTTCAGGAGTTTGTTACAAGCTGTTTTAATTTTATAATCTAACATAATTATATAATATTCACATAAACTTTGATAGGATTTATAAAGAAGTCAGATTGCAAAATTTGTTAGTTTCATGTTTAATTTGATGCTTCTGCTTATTTCAAAGTAAGTTTTTTCAAAACAAAATATCTTTTGAATGAAGCTTTGTTATATGTTACTATTACTAAATTAAAAAAAAAAAAAAAGAATGAAACTTTGTTAAAGAAATGAAGCAGGCTGGACACAGTGGCTCACACCTGTAATCCTAGCACTTTGGGAGGCTGAGGTGGGTGGACCACCTGAGGTCAGGAATTCAAGACCAGCCTAGCCAACATGATGAAACCCTGTCTCTACTAAAAATACAAAATTAGCCGGGTACACTGGTGCATGCCTACAATCCCAGCTACTTGGGTATCTGAGACAGGAGAACCGCTTGAACCTGGGAGGTGGAGGTTACAGTGAGCTGAGATCACGCCATTGCACTCCAGCCTGGGCAACAAGAGCAAAACTCCATCTCATGAATGAATGAATGAATGAATGAATGAAGCAAAATTATTAGCAACTTCTGATTTATCAAATACTAGCTCATCCCAAAAAGTTGACTATGTTGAGGAATATCACTGAAGCTTTCACAACAAACTAGAATTACTCACTGCCCTCAGGCTTTCCTAAAGATTTTCTTCCTTGGAGAAAATAAGTATAGTTGCCCAAATACCAAAAGTCAGTCTTCTCAGGTGGGTGAGGTTCAGGGGAAGTCAGACTGTGCTCTCCCAGCTCTTCCAACCTGTTCAAACCCTACTGAAGCCCAAATAACAAGAAAAGTAGCTTTCACTCAGTTACTAGGCTGAATGATGATCTCAGCATTGCTTTATCTCATCTGTCCCCTAAGCTTACCACAACTTTTTTAACCCTACTCTGTCCTTTACTTGGATCAATCTCTATTTCTGCCCCTTCTCTTCACCAGTTCTACTTCTGAGAGAAAGTTCAGAGGACAAAATACGGCAAGGCCACCCAGCATGGTGTACAAAGTAATCAGAAGTCATCCAATCCCACATATTCCCAATCTACCTCTCCCTCATAGCCAGCCTGCTTGGGGTGAACTTACTAAGGAAAGGTGAAAACTGCCCTGCCCCTTCAGGTATCAATCCTTGTTGTCTTTCAAACTGTCACACCCAGGGGAACCAATAGAAACCTGCTTTTCCAAACCAGCTCCTTCAAGGTGACTTTGAAAGTAAAAATGGGGAACTAATTATTGATGTTTCATTGTCCCAAATCACTGTTGTTGACTATCAATGATTATCTTCTGCACAGTAAGAATAAATCTTGAGCAAAGACTGTACTTCTCTTCTATTGTGTGCATGTATGAATGAGAGTGCGAGTGAGAGAGAAAAAGAGACAGAGTCTCTTTCTATTGCCAAGGTTGGAGTACAGTGGCATGATCATAGCTCACTGAAACCTTGAACTCTTAGGCTCAAGTGATTCTCCCAAATCAGCCCCAAAAACAGGTGTGATTACAGGTGCACATCACCATGCCCAGCTAATTAAAAAAAATTTTTGTTTTGTAGAGATAGTCTCAGCTATGTTGGCCTCTGAAAGCATTAGGATTACAGGTATGAGTCACTGCACCTATCTTGTACTTCTTTTATAATTCTTTTTACTGTAGTAAAATAAATTTCAAGTAGTAACATGAAATTTACCATTTTAGCCATTTTAAGTGTACAGTTCTGTGGCATTAGGTACACCCATGCTGCTGTGCAACCATCATCAACATCCACCTCCAGAACTTTTTAATCTTGTAAAATGGAAACTCTGTACATATTAAACAACTCCCCTTTCCCTCCAGCCCCTGGCAACCACCATTCTACTTTATGTCTCTAAGATTTTGAGTATTCTAGGTACCTTATATGAGAAATCATACAGTATTTGTCCTTTTGTGACTGGCTCATTTCGCTTAACATAATATCTTTAAGGTTCATTCACGTAGAAAGTTTCAGAATTTCCTTCCTTTTTAATGCCAAATAATACTCTATGTATATGTCACATATTGTTTACCCATTCATTCACTGATGAACACCTGAGTTGCTTCCATTTTTAGTTATTTTGAATACTGCTACGAATATGGGTATACAAATATCTCTTCAATACTGTGCTTTCACTTTCTTTGGAGTATATACCCAAAGTGGAACTGCTGGATTATATGGTAATTCCATGTTTAATTCTTTAAAGAATCATCACACTGTTTTCTTCTTTGCTTAAAATTTTAAGTCATATGACCTATATACTAATTAGATTCACACATAGGACAGCAGTGGTCAGATGCTTTATTTCTAATGTTGTAACTATCCTACAGCTAGTTAAGGCACACCTTTAAATAACCAGTCTTTCCAATGGCTGATGAGGAAATGCTACTCATTAGTCAACAAGAATCTTGCATACCTATGACCTACTGGGTTCCAGTTACAGACAGGAACACAAAGGTAAATACAGCATGGTCACTGTCCTCAAGAAACTCAGGGAGTAGAAAAGAAGGTAGATATAAAAGTAAATGATCACAATAGGGCTAAGTGCTACCAGAGAGTACTTCTGAAAGTAAATCCTTACCTAGAAATACAAGAATGCTGAGGTCATGAAAATATCTGCAGTTTCATAGGCTAATGTGAGTCAAATCTATATGTTAATTATCTTTTGGGTGTAAAGGCATAAGGAGCTCTGATACTTTTTAAAGGTCTAACTTGTCTAGAAAGCCCATTCCTTTTTCAGGTAGAAGAGTACCCAATTCATTTTTCTCTTTTTAGAATCACCAAGAGATCAAAGAGAAGTAAAAGGAAGAAAAACTCATTTATCTTCCTATCTTCTGTACAAAGAGAAAGTTTCCACTCTTACAAATGCAAGGTTTAGGCTGGGCGTGGTAGCTTATGCCTGTAATCCCAGCACTTTGGGAAGCTGAGCCAGGTGGATCACTTGAGGTCAGGAGTTCAAGATCATCCTGGCCAAGATGGTGAAACCTTGTCTCTACTAAAAAATACAAAAATTAGCTGGGTGTGGTGGTGCATGCCTGTAATACCAGCTATGTGAGAGGCTGAGGCAGGACAATCACTTGAACTCGGGAGGCGGAGGTTGCAGTGAGCCAAGATCATGCCACAGCACTCCAGCCTGGGCAACAGAGCAGGACTCTGTCTCAAAAAAAAAAAAGAGAAAAAAAAGAAAAAGGCTTAGTTAAGGTGTTTATTTTATCATTGAAGAATTGCCAATCTTGGAAACAACCCAATGTCCATTGACTAATCAATGAGTAAACAAAATGTAGTAAGGCATGGTGGCACAAGCCTGTATACACAGCTACTTGGGAGGCTGAGGTAGGCGGATCACTTAAGTCCAGGAGTTTGAGGCCAGCCTAGGCAACACAGTAAGACCCTATCTCTAAACAAAACAAAACAAAATGAAACACCCCAAAAAACTTATAAACAAAATGTATTATATGAAAATAAGAAAATACTATTCAATGTTAAAAAGGAATGAAATTCTGATTCAGGCTACAATATAGATGAATCCTGAACATATGCTAAGTGAAAAAAGCCAGTCAAAGAAGGACAAACATTGTGTGATTCTTCTGCTATGATGTACCTAGAATAGTCAAATTCACATACAGCAGAATTGTGGTTGCCAGAAGCTGGGAGAAGAGGGGAGTGGACTTAAGTGTTTAATGGGTATAGAGTTTTGGTTTCGTAAGACTAAAAATTTCCATAGAGTGGTGATGGTTGCATAAAAATGTGAATGTACTTAATGCCACAGAACTATACACTTTAAAATGGCTAAAATGATTAATTTTATGATATGCATCTTTTACGACAAGAAACAAACAAAAATCATCAATCAAAAAACATTAAAAAAAAATCACAACTTTCTGATCATGTAAAATGACAGACGTTTTGTACTGCTGTGAAGAGGATCTCATGGCTGCCTCAAACATTTTCCTTTTATTTATTTTTTGAGATGGTGTGTCACTATGTCACCCAGGCTGGAGTGCAGTGGCGTGATCTCAGCTCACTGCAACTTCCACCTCCCAGGTTCAAGCAATTCTCCTACCTCAGCCTCCTGAGTAGCTGGGATTACAGGCGCCCGCCACCACGCATGGCTAACTTTTATATTTTTCGTAGAGATGAGGTGTCACCATGTTCGCCAGGTTGGTCTCTCCTGACATCAGGTGATCCACCCGCCTCAGCCTCCCAAAGTGCCGGGACTACAGGCATGAGCCACTGTACCTGGCCCAACATCTTCCTTCTAAACTTACTTTATTTATTAGTAACTAATAAAATTCTTGAAGTACTAAAAACAAAACACTGTAACTTACCTGTTTTTAATTGCATCACTTACCACTTTAGAAGGCAGTTTCTGAAAAAGTTCGCTAATGAGACGTCCTGATGGATTTGTAGCTACAACTATGGCTTCAAGAAGCTGCTCCAGGATCTCCTTCAAGTAAGTTGGAGAAGACTGGTAATGAGGAGAAAAAAGTACTTTGTAAGAGAATAAAATGTTGAATATTACATAGCTTCTAAAATTGTAAAGCTAATTCAAAAGAGGAACTTTTTTTTTTTTTTGGAAGATGGAGAGGCTGGAGTGCAGTGGCATGATCTCAGCTCACTGCAACCTCTGCTTCTTGAGTTCCAGCAATTCTCCTGCCTCAGCCTCCCGAGTAGCTGGGATTACAGGCAGGTGCCACCATACCCAGCTAATTTTTGTATTTTTAGTAAAGACAGGGTTTCACCAAGTTGGCCAGGCTGGTCTTGAACTCCTGACCTCGAGGTCCTCCCACCTTGGCCTCCCAAAGTGCTGGGATTATAGGCATGACCCACCACGCCTGGCGAAAGAGAGCAACTTCTAAGCAGTGCTTATTTTAAGTCCAAATTTCAAGAATATCCCATAATGTTCTGATGCTGGCCACAGGCATTGTATCCCTAGAACAACCTATATGAAACTAATGAGGCTCCTTATATTATTTTTGCAATGAAATCTCTTGTACTAGGTACTTTTACTGAAACTTTTTCTACAGTAAATATTGTAATGGCAAAGTTTAAGTGCCACAAATGTGAAATGAGCAACTCAGCAGGAGAAAACGTGTCCCATAATAGTTGGTCATTTCTATATCTGCTGTTCACATCTATTGAAGTCTTCATATTCTTATAGGACAATGATTACTTACATACTTTTAACCACGGGGTGCTCTACCAGGTCTAACAATAATTCAAATTAAGTCAACACGAAATAGCGATTAAGTAAATCAATGTGCACCATTTCTGCTCTTCAGATTGACTGGTTTATACCTAGCTTAGACACTATTTCAACAAAGTATATGCCTCAAGGAGTACTTGACCAGGGAGGGTCCAAGTTTGAAGCAAGTTTCTAGAATAAGCAATGGGATGTCTCAGTCAAGGATTAAATGATGCTTCTAGTCCAAATCATTATTTGTGCATATAAAATAAATAGTAATGGTTATTTCTGGTTTAAATCATCAGAGCACTGGCATTTTGTCCCAATCCAACAGAAGGTCTTTTTATTTAGTATAGTCTCAATTTTAAAGTTCAACACTTTTTTTCCCCCACTCTGTCGTCCAGGTTGGAGTCAAGTGGCGTGACCATGGCTCATTGCAGCCTCAAACTCCTGGGCTCAAGCAATCCTTCCACCTCAGCTTTTCAAGTAGCTGAGACCACAGATGTGTACTACCATGCGTGGCTATTTTTTTTTTTTTTTTACTTTTTGTAGACATGGGCATATCACTAAATTGCCCAGGCTGGTCTCAAATGCTTGGGTTCAAGCGATCCTCCAGTCTCAGCCTCTGAAAGTGTTGGGATAACAAGCGTGAGTCACTGCATCAGTCCCAAGAAAATCATCCTTGATTTAAAAATCGGAAGCCTGAAAATTTCTTCTTCCTCCATGAGAATCATAGAGCTGGAAAAAGGCTTGGGGTCTGGTAAGGTGGCTCATACCTGTAATCTCAGCACTTTGGGAAGCGGAAGCGGGCACATCACCTGAGGTCAGGAGTTGGAGACCAGCCCGGCCAACATGGTGAAACCCCGTCTATATTAAAAATCCAAAAATTAGCTGGCATGGTAGTGGGCATCTGCAATCCCAGCTACTTGGGAAGCTGAGGCAGGAGAATCATTTGAACCCAGGAGGTAGAAGCTGCAGTGAGCCGTGATCGCACCACTGCACTCCAGCCTGGATGAAAGAGCAAAAAACCCTCTCCCAAAAAAAAAAAAAAAAAAAATCTGAAAGAGGCTTGGGAGGTATAAATGTGAATGTATAAGATCTTCCCAATTTCTCATCAATTATGTATTACAAAAAGAAATATAGGCAAGTCTTAATTGTAGGGATTTTAATTTTTTGACTACAGCCCTGCAGGCCTACACGAAGCGTGGGGCCTCTGCAAGCAGTGTTCTTCCCAAAAAAGCATGGGCTGCTTCTCCTGTATTCATAATCAAAGAGTAAATTTCCAGGGAATTCCTATTTTTAGCATTCTATTTAGTTCCAATCACTTAATTACTTAAAGAAATTGACAAGGTGCTAAAGAACTATATATATAATAGATATAAAATATATATATAGGAACTGTGTGTGTGTGTATACATGCTTTTTTGTTGTTGTAGTTTTTTTTTTTTTTTTTTTTTTTTTGAGACAGTCTCTCACTCTATCACGCAGGCTGGAGTACAGTGGCATGATCTTGGCTCACTGCAACCTCTGCCTCCCAGGTTCAAGCAATTCTCCTGCCTCAGCCTCCAGAGTAGTTGGGACTACCAGTGCCCGCCACCATGTCTAACTAATTTTTGTATTTTTACTAGAGTCAGGGTTTCACCATGTTGGCTAGGCCGGTCTCAAACTCCTGATCTCAGGTGATCTGCCTACCCTGGCCTCCCAAAGTGCTGGGATTATAGGGGTGAGCCATAGCACCTGACTAGGAACTATATTTTGAGACTCTAAGAAATAATTATATTTTTGAGAAATTTACCCATCACTGCTTCTCTGTGTTCCAGCAAAAGGCCTACATAGATAAGTTACAGAAGAAAGGACAATATTCTGCATTGTGCTTCTTACAATTTAGCTGTAGTAAAGACTTGTGATCTCTTATACTATTCTTTTTTTTCTTTTCAAACATGTCTTCTTTGTTTTTTGTTTTTTTGAGACAGTCTCGCTTTGTGGCCCAGAATGAAGTGCAGTGGCACCATCTCGGCTTACTGTAACCTCCACCTCCTGGGTTCAAGTGATTATCCTGCCTCAGCCTTATGAGTAGCTAGGATTACAGGCGTGTGCAACCACACCCAGCTAATTTTTATATTTTTGGTAGAGATGGGGTTTCATCATGTTGGCCAGGCTTTCTTGAACTCCCAACCTCAAGTGATCCTCCCGCCATGGCCTCCCAAAGTGCTGGGATTACAGGTGTAAGCCACCATGCCTGGCCATCAAACATGTGTCTTTATTTAGTAAATATTTATCAGTACCTACATGTCACGCATAGTGTAGATATCAGGAATAAATGAGCAAGAAGATACCTTCTGAGGAGCTATCATTCTACTTGGGGGAAGAGAGAAAAACACGTAAACTAGTATGTTATTTCATATATAGCGACATTATAAAAACTGAAGACAACCCTGTGATGACAGGGTGGGGTAGGGGCTGAACAGGAGGAAGGCAGAGCAAACAATTTAGATAGGGTGGTCAGGAAAGTTCAGTCTCAGTTGACACCATTTTAGATGGTGTCAGAATAATAAAAAAGAGCCCGTCATGGGAAAAGCCAAAGGAAGCATTTTCTACGCCGAAGAACAACTGCAAAATTCCAGAGGCAGAAACACACCTGGTATGTTCTAGGAACAGTAACCATTATTACCTACAGAAATATTCCTCACTAAGGTGATTACATTCCAACTTCTAACCACAGCACTGCCTTCCCTTATATGATGTCTCAATGTAGCAATACTGGACTAGTCCTTGATAATATCAAGATTCTCTTTAAAACTGAGTGGGAAATATGCATTAAGATAAGTACAATTCATGAAAATCACCACACATGGCACACATTGTCCAGGATATCCTAGGAGCCCTTAAAAATGGAGTGGGGCTCTCTGGCTGAATATCCTTTTACCCTCCCATTTACCAATACAATTGCACAGCAATTCCTGTTGCCCACAACAGCCCAGAGGGAATCATAAGCAGGGGTTCTCTCTGCCTTCCAAAAGCCCATCCATCACAAGTTACAGCTGCACACTTACTCCTTCAGTCATTGTGCCTTGATTGTCTTGCCCATCTTCATCATCATCTTCATCATCTGCTTCTCCTTTCTGAACAAACTCATTTCTTGTTCGAAGGTACAAATCCCAGAGTTTGCAAGCAGCTTTATATTCAGGAGAATCTGGCTATACGTTAACAAAAAAAAAATCATTTTAGTAATATATTGGAAATCAGTTGCTACTTTTAAAGCACACTGTTTCCGCAAAGACTAGTATTTTAAGACACAATTTTAAAAATTCTATTACAAATGTTAATATCCTCATGATTAATACTTCTATTTTGAAATTCTTTAATACGCGGTTTGAAGATGTCTGTTCCTGAAGTACAGTGAGTATGACAAACTCTTGACTGAAACCTTCTAGTAAAAACAATGTTGAATGCAATGTTTAAAAAATAAAATAAAACTTTAAAAATGCATCCATGGGATGCCAATAGAAAGTAAAGATGTTCATAGAAGTAAGGAGTAAAAGCAGGAACCCAAATGAAAACGCAGAACACTGAAGTCAAATGTTCACTTTGAAGGCATTTATTTGTGATAAAACCAAGCTTTGGTTTCCAACGCTTCTCTGGGCAGCAAGAAGGAGAGACAAAAGTCAAGCTCTACCAGAAGCTGGGAATCCAAAGGCCACAGCTGCACTGCTAGTGGGAACTCAAATCAGTGTCTGTACTGCCAGGGAACAAGGAGGACTGCCCATCTCAATCTCTACCTATCCAAACTCATGCCTATCTCAAACCATGGCACTGAGAGGAGAGGAGAGGCATGAAATGAATCTCCTCTGAGAACTCTTCATCATAAGTTAGCCTTAACAAAGACAGGCCAGTCACCCTGGACAAGCAGCAAATCATCTCTGGATGAAGCCAACTTCAATTTAATGCTTCAGTGATCTCTAAAGTTAAAGTTCCAAGAAATAGGAGCCCATAGTCAAAAGTCATGAGCCACATAAGAATCAAAGAATCACAAGAGAAGGCTAGCAAAAATGACAGTGAAACAAATATATATATATACATTAGGATTCAAATATTAGATTATCAGAATAATCTGCCATAGAATAAAAAACGGGTGTGTTAAAAACGTTTAAAAATTGGGCATGGTGGCGTACACCTGTTAGCTACTTGGGAGGGTGAGGCAGGAGGATCACTGGAGCTCAATAAGGCTGCAGTGAGCTACAACTGTGCCTGTGAATAGCTAGTGCACTCCAGCCTAGGTGACAGATCAAGACTTTATCTCTTAAAAAAAAAAAAAAGAAGTTTAAAGAAACAATGAGTTTGAAAATATGAGTGAAGTTCTAGAGACTTTAAAAAAGAAGCTACTTCCTATGTATAGAAAAAATAAAATTAAAATGCAAATACTAATTTTGTATGTAACTGATTTAAGAGATTTCACCAAGAAAACAAAGAACTAAAAAAATTATCTAAAAAAGCAACATAGACACAAAAGCAGAAAATATGAAAAATTAAGAGAAATGGAGACCTGTGGGAAGTCTAATATAACATCTAATCAGAGTTTCTACAAGAACAGAGAACAGGGCAAAAGCAAAATGCTAAGACATGGCTAAAAACTTTCCAAAGATGGGCCAGGCACGGAGGCTCACGCCTGTAATCCCAGCACTTTGGGAGGCCAAGACGGGCAGATCGCGAGATCAAGAGATCAAGACCATCCTGGCCAACATGGTGAAACCCTGCCTCTACCAAAAATATAAAAATTAGCTGGGCGTGGTGGCGTGCGCCTGTACTCCCAGCTTCAAAGGCTGAGGCAGGAGAATTGCTTGAACCCAGGAGGCAGAGGTTGTAGTGAGCCGAGATCCCGCCACTGCACTCCAGCCTGGCACCTGGCTACAGAGCAAGACTCTGTCTCAAAAAAAAAAAAAAAAAAGAAAAAGAAAAAGAAAAAGAAAAAAAAACTTTCCAAAGACAATGAGAAACACCAATCTAAGATTTATGAAGCACTATTGCTCACAAATTCTATAAATAAAAGGATATCTAAATAATTTATCACAATGAAACTGTAGAATACAAAAGAGAAAAAGATACTAAAGATAGCCAGAAAAGAAACAACAGATAACCTTTAAAAGAACTACAATTATACTGATGACTTCTCAATAGCAAAAAGGAATGAAGAACAAAGAAAGTAGTAGTAATGGTACTGACTCCACAAATCAATAGTATTATTATTATTAATGTTTTTAAAGACAGGATCTCACTGTTGCCCAGGCTGGAGTGCAGTAGCATGATCACAGCACACTGCAGCCTTGAACTCTCGGGCTCAAATGATCCTTCCACCTCAGCCTCTCAAGTAACTGGGACTACTGGTGCACTCCACCACACTCGGCCAATTAAAACCTTTTTTTTCCCCCATAGAGATGGGGTCTTCGTACATTGCCTAGGCTGGTTAAAGCAATCCTCCTGCCTCAATCTCCCAAAGCGCTGAGACGATAGGCATGAGCCATCATGCCTGGTTCAATTATTTTACAGCATGGGTCCCCAGCCCCCAGGCCACAAACAGCTACCAGTCCATGGTCTGTTACGAACTGGGCTGCACAGCAGGAGGTGAGCTCAGGCAAGACAGCATTACTACCTGAGCTCCACCTCCGGTCACATCAGCAGTGGCATTAGATTCTCATAAGAGTGTGAACTCTATTTCGAACTGTGCATGCAAGAGATCTAGGTTGTAAGGTCCTCATAAGAAATCTAATTCCCAATGATCTGAGAAGGAAGAGTTTCATTCTGACCCTGCCCCCTACATCCACCGCTGTCCATGGAAAATTGTCTTCTACAAAACCGGTTTCTTGTGCCAAAAAGCTTGAGGACCACTGTTCTATGAGATTCAAAAATTGCCATAAAAGAACTAAAGTACACAGCACCAGCATTATAAATAAGAAAAAGAGTGATCAGAGTTGAATTATTCTAAAGTAATTATATACTGTTTGGAGCATTAAGATCCTGATTAGCTTCTGGCTTTGATGAGTTAGTTATGCATAATAAAACTTCTTGGGTAAGAACTAAAAGGTTATCCATAGGTGTTACAATTTCCAAATTTTAGAAGTAATAAGAGAAAAAAGAATTTTTGAATAAACAAAATCAAAAGAAGGCATAAAGAAAAAAATAACAAAATGCATTGAAGAATAAGATAAAGAAACTGAACAAGGTAGTGGGCACCTACAGTCCTAGCGACCTGGAGGCTGAGGTGGGAAGATTGCTTGAGTCCAGGAGTTTGAGGCCACCCTGGGCAACTTAGTGAGACTTCATCTCTTAAAAGGATTTAAGGCCAGGCGCGGTGGCTAATGCCTATAATCCTAGCACTTTGGGAGGTTGAGGTGGGTGGATCACCTGAGGTCAGGAGTTTAAGACCAGTCTGGCCAATATGGTGAAGCCCCATCTCTACTAAAATACAAAAATTAGCCAGCATGATGGCGGGTGCCTGTCATCCCAGCTACTTGGGAGGCTGAGGGGGTGAATTGCTTGAACCCGGGAGACGGTGGTTGCAGTGAGCTAAGATCACGCCACTGAACTCCAGCCTGGGCAGCTGAGTAAGACTCCATCTCAAAAAAATATATAAAATAAAATAAATAAGGCCGGGTGCAGTGGCTCAAGCCTGTAATCCCAGCACTTTGGGAGGCCGAGGCGGGTGGATCACGAGGTCAAGAGATCGAGACCATCCTGGTCAACATAGTGAAACCCTGTCTCTACTAAAACTACAAAAAAATTAGCTGGGCATGGTGGCACATGCCTGTAGTCCCAGCTACTCAGGAGGCTGAGGCAGGAGAATTGCCTGAACCCAGGAGGTGGAGGTTGCGGTGAGCCAAGATCGCGCCGTTGCACTCCAGCCTGGGTAACAAGAGCGAAACTCTGTCTCAAAAAAAAAAAATAATAAAATAAAATAAAATAAATAAAAAGATGAGATGAATAGAAAGTAGAAATTTAGATTTCAGAAATATATCCAAACATAATGATAATTACTAAAACTGTAAAGAGTTGAAATGCCCTAGTTAGAAGATAAAGATTATACACTGGAGTAACAGAAGTTCACATATATGTTGTTTACAAGACATACCTAAGCACTGAAAGAATATGAATGTATTAAAAGTATAAAAATGAAAAAAACAAACTAGGTGAACACCAAAACAAACTAGTGTAACTACATTAATGTCAGACAAAATAGACCAAAGAAAATACTTTACTAGTAATAAAAAGCGCTATTACATAATACCAAAAAGTTCAATTTACTAGGGCAGTAATTCTAAACTTCTATTTTCCTATTTGCATAATTTCAAAACATATAAGCAGATATTAACAGAATTATAAGGAGAAAGAGACACATCCATAATAAGAGATTTTAAAATACTGAATTCAGTAAGTGGATAGTTTCATGCAGGCAAATCAGTAAGGATATTAAAGATTTGGCTGGGCGTGGTGGCTCACGCCTGTAATCCAAGCACTTTGGAGGCCAAGGCGGGTGGATCACCAGAGGTCGGGAGTTCAAGACCAGCCTGACCAATATGGTGAAATCCTGTCTTAAAAAACAAATAAATAAACAAATAAATAAAAGATTTTGAAAGGGCCAGGCATAGTGGCTCACACCTGTAATCTCACCTTTTGGGAGGCCAGGGCAGGTGGATCACCTGAGGTCAGGAGTTCAAGATCAAGATCAACCTGGCCAACAGGGTAAAACCCGATTTCTACTAAAAATACAAAAATTAGCCAAGTGTGGAAGCACACACCTGTAGTTCCAGCTACTCCAGAGGTTGAGGCAGGAGAATCACTTGAACCCGGGTGGTGGAGGTTGCAGTGAGCCGAGATCGTGCCACTGCATTCCAGCTTGGGTGACAGAGTGAGACTCTGTCTCCAAAAAAAAAAGGAAAAAAAAAGGTTGTTCATAAGATTTCCACGATTAAAAAAAAAAATGATTGTAGCAACATAATTAAATAGCAGAGCATGTGATCCAATGAACACAAGCAAAGCATTGTGCTATATAAATAGTACTCTGGTTATGTTCACATAATTCATAGCAGCATAACTCATAATAGCAAAAAGCAGAAACCAAATTTCCATCAACTAGGGAATGGATAAACAAAATGTGGTATATTCATACAATGGAATATGAATCAGCCATAAAATAGAACGAAGTACTGATACACAGTTGCAACATGGATGATGCCTGAAGGCCTTATATTCACTGAAAAAAGCCCATCACAAAAGGCCATACGCTGTATGACTCTATTTATATGCAATGCCTGAACAAGCAAATCCATACAGTAGGAAAGTAAATTAGTGGTTGCCAAAGACTGTCAGGGGGAAAGGGAAGTGCCTGCTAATGGGCATGGTTTTCTTTTATATTCTAGAGTTATATAGTAGTGACAGTTGCAAAATTTTTAAATAACTAAAAACCCCTTAATTCTACATTTTAAGATGATATATAAATTATCTCAATTTTAAAATACAAATATATGCTGTGTGTGGTGCCTCATGTCTGTAATCCCAGCATTTTGGGAGGCCGAGGCAGGTGGATTACCTGAGCTTAGGAGTTCAAGACCAGCCTGGGCCACACAGTGAAACCCCATCTCTATACTAAAATATAAAAAATTAACCAGGCATGGTGGTGTGCACCTATAGTCCCAGCTACTCAGGAAGCCAAGGCAGAATTGCTTGAACCCAGGAGATGGAGGTTGCAGTGAGCCAAGATTATGTCACTGCACTCCAGCTTGGGTGACAGAGTAAGACTCGTCTCAAAAGAACAAAAACAAAAACAGGCCAGGTGCAGTGCTTCACGCCTGTAATCCAAGCACTTCGGGAGGCTGAGGCAGGTGGGTCATGAGGTCAGGAGATCAAGACCATCCTGGCCAACATGGTGAAACCCTGTCTCTACTAAAAATAGAAAAATTATCTGAGCATGGTGGCGCATGCCTGTAATCCCAGCTACTTGGGAGGCTGAGGCAGGAGAATCGCTGGAACCAGGGAATTGGAGGTTGCAGTGAACCGAGATCAAGCCTCTGCACTCTAGCCTGGCGACAGCAAGACTCCATCTCAAAACAAAACAAAAACATTTACAATTTCAAGAATAACAACTTAACAACATATTTGTAGAATCTTTATGAAGAAACATTTAAAGCTTTACTAAGACACTTTTAAAAAGATGTAAATAAATGAAGACATACCAAATTCACAGACTGAAACAGTCAACATTATGCCAGTTTTCACTAATATGACCTATAGTCGATACAATCACAATAAAAATTCAAAAAAAATTTTTTGTGTGCTTGTTGACTTAACACACTAATGTAAAATGTGTAAGAAATGGCAAAAGGTCAAGTATAGTTAACCTACTTTCTTACTTGATAAAGAATTAGAAAGCAAGATGGGCATTGTGGCTCATGCCCGTAATCCCAGCACTTTGGGAGGCTGAGACAGGTGTATTGCTTGAGCCCAGGAAGTTCAAGACCAGCAAAGGCAACATGGCAAAATCCCATCTCTACCAAAAATACAAAAAGTCAGCCAGCTGTGATGTTTGCACGCTAACTGGGAGGCTAAGGTAGGAGGATTGTTTGAGCCTAGGAGATGGGAGCTGTAGTGAGCCAAGATCATACCACTGCAGTCCAGCCTGGGCAACAAAGGAGATTGTTGGAATTAGGCCAGGCACCGTGGCTCACGCCTGTAATCCCAACATTTTGGGAGACCGAAGTCAGGAGATCAAGACCATCCTGGCCAACATGGTGAAACCCTGTCTCTACTAAAATACACACACAAAAAATGAGCTTGGTGTGGTGGCACATGCCTGTAGTCCCGGCTACTCAGGAGGCTGAGGCAGGGGAATCACTTGAACCCAAGAGGCGGAGGTTGCAGTGAGTGGAGATCGTACCACTGCATTTCAGCCTGATGACAGAGTGAGACTCTGGCAAAAAAAAAAAAAAAAAAAAAAAAGAATTATAAAGCCAAAGTAATTAAGATAGAAATAGAATGGCCTAGTAACAGATAAACTGGTCTTTGGAACAGAATAAAATGACAGAAACAGATCCATGAATGCATGGAAATGATGACAACAGTGACTGTGAACAAATGCAGAGAGAACAGTGTTGGCTATACCTGTGGGAAAAAAACAGAGTCCTGTCTTATAAAAGACAAAAATCAATCCCAGCTGCATTAAAGGCTTATATGTAAGACAAAAGTATAAAACTTTAAGAAGAGTATACAAGAGAAGAAAGAATATAATCTTTGGGCAAGAGGAATCTCTGAAACAAGATACGAAGAAACCAAACTTAAAGATTGATAAATTTGATTATATTAAAAGAAAACACGGCTGAGCACAGTGGCTCATGCCTGTAATCCCAGCACTTTGGGAGGCCGAGGTGAGTGGCTCACGAGGTCAAGAGATAGAGACCATCCTGGCCAACATGGTGAAACCCCATCTTTTTAAATACATACATACATACATACATTTCTGTTCATCAAAAAACACCATGCATGGTGAAACCCCATCTTTAAATAAATAAATAAATAAATAAATACATTTCTGTTCATCAAAAAACACCATGAAGGGTGAAAAGATACAAGATATCTGAAACATATAAAATCAAAAAACAAAAAATAAAAACACATATAATCAAAAAAGGATTAGTATCTACAATAATTTAAAAATTTCTATGGCTGGGCACTGTGGCTCACACTTGTCATCTGAGCACTTTGGGAAGCCAAGGTGGGTGGGTCACTTGAGGTCAGCAGTTGGAGACCAGCCTGGCCAACACAATAAAACCCCGTTTCTACTAAAAATACAAAAAATCAGCTAGGTGTGGTAGCAGGCACCTGTAATCCCAGCTACTCGGGAGGCTGAGGCAGGAGAATCGCCTGAACTCAGGAAGCAGAGTTTCCAAGATTGTGTCACTGTGCTCCAGCCTGGAGAAGAGAGTGGGACTTTGTCTCAAAAAAAAAAAAAAAAAAAAATTTCTAAAGCCAGGAGTGGTGGCTCATAATTGTAGTACCAGCTACACAGGCTAAGGCAGGAGGATTACTTGAGGCCAGGAGTTTGAGAACAGCCTGGGATAGTGAGACTCTGTCTCTTAAGAAAAGAAAAATTCCAGAAATATAAAAGTGTCTAACAAACCAAGAGAAAAATGGGCAAAAGATTTCAGCAGACGGAGGAGAAATAAGAATGGTTTATAATCATATGAATATGGGCTAGGCACAGTGGCTCATGCCCGTGAACCCAGCAACTCAGGAAGCCAAGGCAGGTAGATCACTTGAGCCCAGGAGTACCAGCCTAGGCAACATGGTGAAACCCCCATCACTACAAAACATACAAAAATTAGCTGGGCATGGTGGCACACACCTCAAGTAGTGCCAGCTACTCAGGAAGCTGAGGTGGGAGGATTGCTTGAACCTGGAAGGTGGAGGTTGCTGTGAGCCGAGATCTCACCACCGTACTCCAGCCCCTGTAACAGAGCAAGAGCCTGTCTCAAAAAGTAATAAATTAAAATACGTAAATATATAAGAAATAAAAATCATTTGAATGTTCAGTCTCTTTACAAATAAGACAAATGTGAACTCAAGACACAAAAAGAAACCACTACTCACCTGCCAGATTTATAAGTGTTAGAAAGCCAGACAATAATCAAATTGGGATCTTTCAAATTTCATAATTTCTTACCTTATAATAGGCCTTTGCATTGTTAAAAAGGAGCTGGAAGTCAGCAGTCAGCAAATTAACATCATCATACTCTTCCATTTTTAGTTTCTGCTGGATTTTCATCAAATCAATGGGCTGAGAAACCACTTCGTAATAGTCTGGTTGATTTCTGTTACAATTTAGATTTTTTAAAGAGATATTAATCTGAAGCTTACAAGAAGTTGTCTTTCAAAGCTATTACGATAATGTTCAACATTCCAAGTGACAGAGCATATTAGAATCTTTCATGGATTTTGGAGCTTACTTTAAAAAAAAATCTGCCAACAAACTCACATTATTGGAACTAAGAGAGAGTAACAAAAGCAAGATGCATATGCATTCCCTTTTCAAAACATATGTTAATGACATAAAAACCTAAATTAACATCTGTGATGGTCTTTTAGGTGTTAAATATTTAATGTTTATAGCACCAATGCTAAACCTATGTTGACGGTATCTTTTATAAATGAAGATGACTCAACTTTCATAGTGCTCAAAAGTGTGAAAATAGAGACACATTTCAACTCTCTTTATAAACTTACAAAATGGATTCTTTCTTCAGTAAGTGAGGGACCACATACATTTTTTTCTATCAAGTTCTATCAAATGCCTATTACAAATGCTGCTTTAATAGCAATTACTATAATTACAAAGGAGGAAGATGATCCCTTGGCTTAAGTAGCCTGCCAAAGATGAACAGATTTAAGAGACATCTAAATACAACCAAACTCTTGGGAAAAAAAAAAAAGCATGGGACTAAGAAACACAAAATTTAGCTTCACAGTTATACCTTGCAGGAAGGAGTAGTAAGGAACACACAAGAAACTTTGAAGGTAATTATAATGACACAATTTCTTAAAATAATTTTTTCTTAAATTTCTTAAGTAATTTTAATGACAATTTCTTAAGTTCCCAAAATAACTTCTTGGGTTTAGGGTTCATGGATATTTATTATTTTTTCTGGCTTTTTTCAAATGAAGTTACAGGAGATAAGTAAGCCTTCTAAAAATCGATGTGAGTGACTATTTTCTCAATTCTCCCACAGGGGTAAGTATTCAGCCCCATTCTAGATGTGTAAGGGATAAGTTGTTACAAATAATATCATGGTGATTAAGGCTTAAATCTCTCTTGGCACCTTAGCTGACAGGTTATAGTCATTCTTTTATTATACATACTTAAGTTATTTTTTACTTTTCATTCCGACATAAAAGTTGTAAAAATAGTACTTTTTTTCTGAACCATCTGAATAAGCTCTGACATGATGCCCCATCATTCTTGATCATTTAATGTTTGTTTCCTACAAACAAGGACCACAACTCAACCATCAAAATCAGGAAATAAATGTTAATACAGTACCGTTGACCACTGAACTGTGCAGGTCCACTTATATGCGAACTTTTTTCAACCAAAAAAAATTCAGAGAGAATCTTGAGAAATCAGAGAAAAAGCAGAAAGAATACTGATGTTGTCAGTGGTATCAAGGGACTTTCTTGGTTTTGGTTTTTTTTTTTTGAGACAGGGTTTCACCATGTTGCCCAGACTGCTCTCGAACTCCTGAGCCAAGTACAGCTATCAGCCTGCCTCAGCCTCCCCAAGTGCTAGGATTACAGGCATGAGCCACTGTGCCCGGCCGCAGGGGACTTTCTCACAGCAAACATTAGGGCTTTGATAACTTAATATCCAAAATGATCCTCTGCATGTGGGCCTACTCTCCTTGCTGATGCAGGACCTCAGCAGTCTCTCAAGATTAGGGGATTATCTATAGACATCTGAGAACTCAATGAGGACATGTGCCTAGAAAGAACACTATCCCCCAGAATCACTGCTACTAGATTACTCACATTTTTAAAATTACCACAAATACAAAAGAAATATCAGGATCCCAACCACTCACTCTATATCATATGGTCAAAACAGGGTCCTCTCATTTTAAAATGAAAGAGTTTTACTAATTTTTTCACTGAAATCAAACATATAGAAAACCATTAAAAGTAAAAATCATCTTTATAATCCAGAATAGCACTATTCGTATTTTCGTAGACATTCTTCCAGACTTATCTCTAGGCACATGTACACACAAGCCAAATTTAACATAAACAGGATTATACTGTATGTTCTTTCAAAACAACTTTTCTCTTTCAACAACAGGTGAGGGCAGTCTGGCATATGGCTGCAAAACAGCCAAAACGTCAAGTTTTCATCAGAATAGTGAGAAACACTAGCCCTGGTGTGCAGAAGGCCTGCTGGCTACTCCCTACCCCATTCTCCTTTCTTCCCAGGATGATGGCATTCTAAGATGCTGCACGGCTACTACAGACCATATTCTCGGCTGAGCAGAGTGGCTCACACCCGTAATCCCAGCACTTTGGGACGCCAACGCAGACGAATCATGAAGTCAAAAGATTGAGACCACCCTGGCAAACACGGTGAAATCCTGTATCTACTAAAAATACAAAAATTAGCTGGGTGTGGTGGCACGTGCCTGTAGTCCCAGCTACTCGAGGCAGAAGAATTGCTTGAACCCAGAAGGCAGAAGTTGTAGTGAGCCAAGACTGTACCATTGCACTCCAGCCTGGGCAACAGAGCAAGACTCTGTCTCTCAAAAAAAAAAAAAAAAAAGAAAGAAAGAAAAAAAAAGACCATATTCCCAGCCAGCATAGTGTTGCATGCCCGTAGTCCCAGCTACTTGGGAGTCTGAGGGAGGACTGCTTGAGTCCAGGAGGTCAAGGCTGTAGTGTGCAATGATGGTGCCTGTGAGCAGCCTGCATTCCAGCCTGTGTGACATGGTGAAGCCTCATCTCCAAGGAAAAAACAACAACAACAAAAACAAAAACCCTTAAAGACCATATTCTCCAGCGTAACTGAAGCTAGCCAACACAAGAGCTGACGTATGTCATATCCAAGTCATGTCCTTAACACTCCTTCTTTTTCCATACTGGCTGGAAGGTAGTTGTGGTAGTGAGGCATCTCAGACCAGGCAGACAAGAGTGACACCACAAAGATAGTAGAATGGAGTTAGCTAATACTTAGACCTTGACAACTTCACAGGTCAGGACTTTTACACAAGAGAAAGAAATTTCTCTTTTGGTTCAGCCATTGTTGATTTCGTTGCTCTATTACAAAGTAGCCAAATACAGTAACTAAAATGAAGTATCAAAAAAGAATTCACAAATTTGTGTAGCTCTGAGCACTACTACTTCTTATAAATACTTGAGAAAAAATATACACTCCACATAGGAGTGTCAGAGAAAGGCACCATTATCTTTGAGATTGTTACATGAAAGTAGTCCAGCATGCAAGGTGTGTATGTATCCTCTGCTACTCAGCACTAACCTGCCAGTGAAAAGGTGGCAGCAAAAGCATGGTATCTTCTGTAAAAGGTTTTGTATACTTCAGTATGATGCTGTTACTCTATACCACACAACGGTTAAGAGCACAGGCTTTGGAGTCAGAACAACTTTAGTCTAAACACCAGCTATCTTAGTAGTTACAAGAACTTGTGCAAGTTCTCACCAATAAACTGTGATAGCTCAGAATTTTAAATAAGATATAATCTAAAAAATGCTTGGTTATTGTGTCTAGAATGTGGCAGACAATAAATACATGCTCTTACTACTTTATGCTAATTAAATAACAACTTTGAGAAGATTATTACTGATAAACCAACTCAAATAGGGAGACAGATACCTCATTTTAAAAACAACTTTCTTTTCGACCATGGCTAATTTATAGGGCTTTACTAATTCAGGATGGTGACACTGCACTCTCAGTGGCTCTGCTCGTTGAGGTGAGAAATTTGCCTTCAGTTCAACTTAGAGCTTGGTAGCTACCCACTGTACTATCAACAATCATGAATGAATCTAAATCTTTAGTTAACTCACTGTATTAGCATTCAAGAGCTGCTGTAACAAATTACTACAAACTTAGGGGCTTAAAACAAAACACATTTATTATATTCATTCTAGAGGTCGGAAGTCCAAAACAGGTCTCACTGGTCTAAAATCAAGGTATTAGCAGGGCTGCATGCCTTCTGGAGGTTCTAGTAGAGAGAATCTAGTTAAAAAGGTTTCCTTGCCTTTTCCAGCTTCTAGAGCTCACCTGCGTTCCTTGGCTTGTAGTCTCCTTCCTCTATCTTCAAAGCCAGCAGTATACATCTTCAAATCTCTCTCTGACTGAATTTGTCTCCCTCTTCCCCATTTAAGGACCCACATGGATAATCCAGGATAACCTCTCCAATTCAAGATCAGCTGATTAGCAAACTTAATTCCCCTCTGCCACGTAACACAACATATTCACAGGTTCCAGAGATTAGAATGTGGAAGTATTTGGGGACCAGTTTTCTGCCTAACACATTCATGCATGTTTTCAGAACAAATAACTTCAATTGCCAGAGTTCTTTTTTTTTTTTCTGAGACGGTTTCACTCTTGTTGTAGAGGCTGGAGTGCAATGGCGCAATCTTGGCTCACTACAACTTCTGCCTCTCGGGTTCAAATGATTCTCCTATCTCAGCCTTCCGAGTAGCTGGGATTGCAGGTGCACAGCCACCATACCCAGCTAATTTTGTATTTTTAATAGAGATGGAGTTTCTCCACGTAGTCAGGCTGGTCTCGAACTCCTGACCTCAGGTGATTCGTCTGCCTTGGCCTCCCAAAGTGCTGGGATTACAGGCGTGAGTCACTGCACCCAGCCAACGGCCAGAGTTTTGAACAAAATAGTGATTACATTTTGACAGCAAGAGAGGAAGGATGTTCCAGTTAATGGTGCAAGGTATGAAAGGCATGTGCAAGATGCCCCTCAGTGTAACTTGAAAAACGGATCCCTTTTAACTATCACTATGAAAACTTCAATATTGTCTTAAAAGCTATTAATTTTTATTTATTTATTTTTCTTGAGATGGAATTTTACTCTTGTTGGCTAGGATGGAGCGCAATGGTGTGATCTCAGCTCACTGCAACCTCTGCCTCCCGGGCTCAAGCGATTGTCCTGCCTTAGCCTCCCAAGTAGCTGGGATTACAGGCGCCTGTCACCATACCCAGCTAATTTTTGTATTTTTAGTAAAGACGAGGATTCCCCATGTTGGCCAGGCTGGTCTCTAACTCCTGACCTCAAGTGATTCGCCAGCCTCAGCC